CTTATAATAATTTAAACATCCATGCATGTGAATCGAATACTAATTTTCATTAGTATGAGGCACGCCTCAATGTCCATGATGAGAGGAAGGTCACAACAACCAATGTCCATTAGTGGAGAAATAATGTATATTATATTCATTAAATTTAATTAAAGCCATTAGTGGAGAAATAATTTATATTTTATTCACTAGATTTAAACATGTATACTTATTTTATAAATACATTAAAACTACTTTTTTACTAAAAATAATTAAATACAATACCAACCTGGTTTACCCTTACTCCTATTAGGAAAAAAGAACAGAAAAAAAAGGAAACCGACTTAGTATGATTTTTAATTTCCTTAAAATATATGTAATATTTGTTTCGTATACGTGGTTTTATGTTGTGAAAAGGCTTGATTTTGAAATGAAATGGATTCAAAGTGCTTATATATAGGCCTCTCTTAATGTTATTTTATTGAAAAATATTTTTGTGTGATTTAACGGACCCGATTATTTCTCTATTAATTAATGGCTTTTGTGTGACATTTTGTTGTTGTGAACCTTTCTCTCATCATTTTATAGGCATGATTCCTCTACCTGCGGGCAAATTTCTTTTAACCCTGTCTTGAAGATTACATTAAGTTTTTGACCTCAATAATTAACAATCTAATTCTTTCACTCCGAAAATGCAAAAGTTATTCAAATGTTTCACATAATCATTACATATTAGTCGTATAACTGTCGCATATTGTCGCATATTCACATTAGAGAGTGCGAAGTGCTATGCATGTGAATGACTTTGCATTTTGAATTTTTGCACAATGTCAATCGCACAATAATCGCATGATTACCGCATAATGCTTTCGCACTTTTTGAGGTAAAAAAGTTAACTTTTTATCCAATGATGTGAAAAACTTATTAATTTTTCAGAGGGATGTGAAAATAGATATTTCATTTTTAACTACCTTCAATTTACCATTTTACTTTAATTTTAGTTTAAAATGATCTACTAAATTTAACCATACAAATATTTGAACTTAGCTTATAGCTAGTACCGGGTCAAAAAAAATGTATATTTATTTAACTTGGTGTTTATGTGTGATTTTACACCATAATTATTGAGTATCTAGAGCTTAGTCATTGCATTATTGGTGTATAGATTGCATATTTGTGCTTTAATTCTCTATTTGTTGGAAAGGTATTACACGTGCTTGTTTTGTAGATATTTTCACATATTTGTAGAGCTTATGGCTATTGGAGGCGCATGGTGAGTACCTAAGACCCCCGGGATGATGATAGATTGATGCACGGATGAGAAAAATGGAAGAAACAAGTGAAACGGATAAAAACGAGCAAGCAGGATTGTGACACAGGCACTGACACGGGCACCATGCCCGTGTCACCTCAACAGAGAGAATTCGTAACCTGGGACCTGACACGGGCTGCGACACGGACGGTGACACGGGCAGAATGGCCGTGTCACGCGCGCAGACTGCGTTTTATTTCTTGTCTATTTTGAATAGGAGAAGGGTTTTGGACATTATAAAAGGCATATTTACCCTATTTTGAGGAGAGGAACATGAATACACATTAGGGGAGCCCTAGAACACACAAGAGAAGCAATTGGGAAGCAAAGGAAGATCAAACACAAAGGGATCAAGAAGATTGAAAAATCGACAAGATTCCTAGTTTTTCTTTCTTCTTTCCTTTTGAACTTTTATTGATCATGTTGATTTCTAATATGTCTATGTATTTGAATTCGAACATGATTGGCTAGTTTATTTGATTCTAAGACTTGGTAGTAGATTAATATGTTGGGATTTTGAATATTTACTATAATTGATTGTTTCTTTTGAACCCTATTCAAATATTTTGTTCTTGTTTCATGTTTAGCACTTGATCAATGCTTTTACATGTTTAACAATATTGTTCATAATTCGAGAGATGAGTTCAATATTAGGTCTTTAATATTTGACACAATTTACTTGCTTGAATCAAGAGATTAGTAGGTCGTTGTGAGGATATTAGATCCTTTAATCTATTTGGAGTTGAATTGCATGTGTTGAGTGGAGACGCTAATATATGTGATTTAATCTACGGTTTTATCGATCTCGAGAGGGACGATAAGCTAAATTTGTGATCATCTTATAGGGTAGATAAAGAAAACATTGGATGTGATATTTCTGAAGGAACCCAACTATTAATTGAAACCAAAGTCTTAGAATTTATCATTCTCATATATTTTCTTACGTGTTTTTTTTCTAGCTAGTTTCTCATTGTTGCTTTATTTTCCTTTGATTATATTTTCTTAGTTTAGTTAATCCATCTCATATTCGGTCGTCTAAATAAAGTTGACACCATCATAATCTTGTACTTGATATATTAATTATTTGGTCTCTTGGGGACGACCTTGCTTGCCACATACTACGAGCGAAGCCGTACACTTGCGGTCGAACTTTAAGAATATAGGCGAACACTTGGTGAATCACTGTAAAAATTTTGGGCTAGTACTAATAGTTTGGTGTAATATGTCTGTGTCATTTTATAATCAATACATTATTGAAAAATTATTATATTCTAACTGCAATATATTTCAATACATCGTAATTCTAATAAAATTTTATCGACAATTTTCGTTGGATATTGACAATTTTAAATGAAAGTTTTTTCTAACTGTTGAAATTATTGACGGAGAAACAAACTCAAAGGGAAATTTCTACATCATTAAGTGATCGTTGTAAGATGCGTTATTGGAATCATCAAATTCTAAATAAAATTTCAAGAAAAAAATTAGTTCTAATCAATTAAGATTTTAATGTTGACATACATTAATATAAGGATTGAAAATTTTCAACAGAAGTTATAATATGGGGATATCTGTAGGTGTAGGTGTAGTGTTGGCAAATAGCTAATATATATTTCTTACTGTATTTCAAGCTTGTAACCAAATATTTCTTACTACTTTTATCAAAACCTTACCTGCAAATCCAAAAGCATGGTCATCTTCATCTTCAACAAGTAGTTTCTATCAAAATATTTTTTCATTTGATTTTTTCATTGGATTTGATAATTTTTTACTGATAACTATTTTAGTTATGCATTATAACTTTATGCCTTTTTTATTAAATTTTTTTGTAAACTCACATTTTCCAAATGTAAATTGTCGAATACTTTAAGACTGGAACATCCAAAATAATATTAATAATAATTGAATCCATATATATATTTTCATTACGAAGTGTTGTAATCATGCAAATATGTTGGACTCACGTTCTTGGCATTATCTACCCACCGATTTCTTCATCACTGGCAAGGCATGCGTGACAGGTTAGTCGTTAAAGTAAATTAAATGGTCAAAATATTTTAGACTGTAAACTCAAAATAGTTAATTGAATTGTATTTACTCTTTAATACCAAAACTAAATTAATGAATATGCATGCATAATAATGCTAAGGAGTCAACTGTTGGCTCCGTTATGGAGCCAACAGTCAATGGGACAGTTCCATGTGGGACTGTGCCACATTGGAATGTGGGACAGTCCTACATAGAACTGTCCCTTGCTCCATAGCATAATCCTATCCATGCATAAGTACTTAATTGGGTTTCATACTTGCAAGTGTTGAACAAAATACGGATTTTTGAGTTTGAAGAAAACTAAATTAATTCCTAATTTGCCAGTGTTCACGTGTACACAACTGTTTTTATTTCCTAATAAAAAATACATCAACGTCATGCTGAATCTTTTTCCAGAATTGTTAAAACAATTCCATGTGAAACCAACACCATTATTACGGATTTAGGAATTTCACTCATGGAACTCGATCTTAAATGTTATAACGAACTTGTAGTTTAAGTCGAAACGCTCATTTTATATGAAAAAGTATTTACTATAAATATAAATATCATTCGATATGTGTACCATCAAGTTCTTAAAAATTTAAAAAATATATAACCCTGATTTTATAAATCACTAACTCGATTTACAATAAAGATATCAAAAAGTAAATCATTATAAATATTTTCAAAAATTTATCTAAAAATGTAAAATATAACGATTGTTAGCACATTTTTAAAATAAATAATTTTATTAATTTAAATTAAAATAGCATAAAAAATAATTATTGCTATATTGTAAATATTTTGTACATTTGTATACATATTTTTTAAAATTTTCTTTATATATATATATATAGATTTAAAAAAAAAAATCAGGGGCCCATGGCCCAATACAAATCCATCCCTACTAATATCATCACTAACAAATAATTTCATAAGAATTTATGTGGACATTTTTTATTTCATCTTCAAAATTATTTTACTATAAATAATCTCTAAAAAATCAGTCCCTAAAATCAGTCCCTAAAATCCCTACAAATCCTTTTGTTTTATTTTACTTATTAACTACTAAAATTCATAAGCATCATATTATATTAACTTAGCTTATATTCCGGAAAAATGTGTATATATTTATTGACATATACTTTGACATAATATGTCTTTTTGCAAAATAATACAATGCTCGAAAATCATAAAATTCCAACAATATTATACTCGTAGGGAAATTTAAATGCTATAATTTTATTTAAAAATTTCATCAATTATTTATGTTAGATTTAATTTCAGTGATTTTTTTTTTTGAACAGTTGGAATTATTAACGAGAAAAAAATTCCAGTGATTTATATGCTTATATACTATGTTTCAACGTCTGTCCAAAGGAAAAGTTAAAACATCAACGTGAAAACCAGAACAAATAATTTTTCCAGAATTGTTAAAACAATTCTATTAAAACATCAACGTCATGCCCAATCTTTTTCCGGAATTGTTAAAACAATTTCACGTGAAAACCAGCACTTGCGTTACTAATATCATTACTAACAAATAATTTCATAAGAATTTATGTGGACATTAACTTTTTATTTCATCTTCAAAATTATTTTACTATAAATAATCCCACAAAATCACCCTAAAAAATCACTCCCTAAAATCCAAAATGACCAAAGTTTTGATAGGAGGATGAAAATTTCTGTCATGGGCTTTGCTAATATCACTGGCCAAAGCTGCACCTGCGAGCTCGATGTATACGAAGTGGGCGGCGGCAGCAGCCAAAGCCGGGCCCTCAAATACAAAATCGCCGCCAGCTGTCTCCCGGTGGAGGCCGTGAGCCCGGAGAGGAGCTTCTTCTTCGTGCTCAAAGCGTTTGCCGCCGGACGCCTTCGAGAGCATGACCTTGGCCGTGAATGGAAAATCACCTCACGAATGCCGGACATGTTAGTTTATTTTAGTTTGTTTCTAAATTAATGTGCAGTTTATATTAATTTTTCTAAAATAATTTTTTTTTTTTTTTCTTCCAACAGATTTTGGGGCGAGGCAAAATCTATGCCATCGGCCAGAGATGTCCGGTAGAAGGCAAAGGTAAGCATAAGAAAAGCCTTAGAGGCAGCCACCGATGCAGAGGTAAATCAAAATCCCGGCCGATGATCCTAACTATTTTCAGTGAGGGAGTTCTTTTGGTCACATATTCTACACACTAACAAGTGTGCTTTGAATTTGTGACCAAAAGCCCAACAATATCAACTCGAAAAACTGGTTAATAAAACAGCAAAACTTTTCAATCTTTCAATTCAAGCCCACTTGGCCAAGATGGACATGCACCCAGCACCCTAAAGAAGAGCAACAGTGCCACAAATCCTGAGCTTGGAACTTCCCTGCATTTTAGTTCCCATGAAATCGGCCGAAAGCAAATCAACAAGCGCCATGTAAATCAAAATCCCGGCTGATGCAGAGTTGAAAAGGCCTTGCACGATGAGGGCAGTCGGGCTCGTCTCGCTGGCAATCCCGATTCCGATAGGCGTGGTTCGGGAGAAGAAGACGGCTATTATAGCCACGGCTCAGGAATTGAATTTGGGCATCCGCCTAGGTCGATATGCATAATTTTTATTATGCATATCGGTTACCTTATGAAAAGTGGTAAAATAACAATTCAGATTTCAATAAAATTGCACAAATATGTTGTTCGGTTACCTCATTTTCATACACTAAAATTACCACTTTTCTTAATCACTTTTGACAGAAACGGGGAAAAATGGGTGCTGCCCACTTTTGAGGGGAAAAATGGGTGTTGGCCCACTACCTTGAAGGACACCATGAAAGAAGGGAAAAACTCATATGAAGCCCAAATGAGGTCCATCTCAAAACCAATTAGTGGAAGAAGGAGTTATAAGGTGGGTTTATTTTCCATATATGAGCACAACTCACAAATGATATTCTAACAACTTTTAATATGAAAAATAAAAATTACACGTGATAACCTCATAATTTGACTTTAAAAGTTTGACTTCCCCTCAAATTCCTCACATATAACTTTTAACAGTTTGACTTCCCCTGAAACTCCTCGCATGTATGATATATCATTACGCATCTCCTTTTAATCACTTTACCTAATTCTCTACAAATTCTCTAATTTTCCTAAATTTCATACGAATTATGTCGTCATTTTTATGCCATCTTCAAATTTTTTCTTACCATAAATCATCCCACGAAATCACCCCAAAAAATCACTCCCTCAAATCCAAAAAGATAAAACTTTTGATCGGAAGATGAAAATTCTCTCATCGGCTCTGATAATGTCAGTGGCCGTCCTCCTCCCGGCGGCGGTCTTCGGCGACTGCACCTGCGAGCTCGACGGAGACGAAGCGGGCGGCGGTAGCAGCGGAAGCCTGGCCCTCAAATACAAAATCGCCGCCCTCGCCGCCATCCTCGCGGCCGGAGCTGCCGGCGTCTGCCTCCCGGTGGTGGGGAAGACGGTAAAGGCCCTGAACCCGGAGAGGAGCTTCTTCTTCGTGTTGAAAGCATTCGCCGCCGGCGTGATTCTGTCGACGGGGTTCATCCACGTGCTGCCGGACGCCTTCGAGAGCCTGACCTCGCCGTGCCTCGGCGACCGGCCGTGGGGCGAATTCCCGTTCGCCGGGTTCGTCGCCATGGTGGCGGCGATCGGGACCCTGCTGGTGGACACCTACGCCATGTCGTACTATGGGCGGCGGGAGGCGGCGAAGGGGGCCCCGCCGGCGAAGGACGGCGGCGGGGTGGAGGCCGGCCAGTTGCCGGTCCACACGCACGCGACGCATGGCCACGCGCACGGAGCGATGTCGATTGGATCTGGCGAGCCTGATCTCCTCCGCCACCGTGTCATCTCACAGGTATTAATTAATTAATCGTACTTTATTTTAATAATTTAATTGTTCAATTTATTTAATTGATAAGTAATTCAAATATTGATCATTTTTCTTTTTCATTTAATTGAAATTCAATTAGGTTTTAGAACTGGGCATCATAGTCCACTCGGTGATAATCGGGATAGCATTAGGCGCCTCGCAAAGTCCCAACACAATACGGCCCCTCATAGCCGCATTGAGCTTCCACCAGCTATTCGAAGGCATCGGCCTCGGCGGATGCATCACGCAGGCCAAATTCAATTCCAGAGCGGTGGCTATAATGGCCGTCTTCTTCTCCCTAACCACGCCTGTCGGAATAGCCATCGGAATCGGGATTGCCAGCGTGTACAGCGAGACGAGCCCGACTGCCCTCATCGTGCAAGGCCTTTTCAACTCGGCATCGGCCGGGATTTTGATCTACATGGCGCTTGTTGATCTGCTTTCGGCCGATTTCATGGGGACTAAAATGCAGGGAAATTCCAAGCTCAGGCTTGGTGGCACTGTTGCTCTTCTTTTGGGTGCTGGGTGCATGTCCATCTTGGCCAAGTGGGCTTGAATTGAAAGATTGAAAAGTTTTGCTGTTTTGTTAACTAGTTTTTCCTGTTGATGTTGTTGGGCTTTTGGCCACAAATTCTACGCAACAATAGTATATTGTTTTCTTGATATGATTGGAAGTTGTTGATATATGATGTGTGGAAAACTTGTTTGTGNTTAAAAAAAAAAGAAAAAAAAGTTACTCTTTTATACATTGGAACAAACACCACCAGAAGCGCATTCTGTATAAGTATAACCATCCCTCCATTACATATGCTCAATCAATCAAAAGCATAACACACATTATACACCAAGCTCTGGACTTCAATCCATTTTGCCATTACAAAAATCACACCACAAATACCAAATCTTTCTGTTTAATCTTTAATCCATATAAAAAACTCGAATTTTCTCCAGCATCACTCCAACTCATCGCCCGTCGTCAGACACTCCTTAACGAACCTGTGGAGACACACCCACGAGGGCCCACCTTCCGAAACACTCGCCCGAGCCCTCTCCCTCATCTCCACCACTCTTCTCCTCACCTCACTCCCTCTCTCCATAACTGCCCTTATCCCATTCTCGATCTCTTCAGCCGCCACCAGCCGCCCATCCTCACCACCCCTCTCCCGGTACCTCAGGCTAATCTCCACCGCCAGCCCCAACTCCCTCGCCAGCTGGAACGCATTCATTTGCTGCTCCGCGTGCAGCGGCCACGTCGCCATAGGGACCCCACACCACAAACTCTCCAGCACCGAATTCCATCCACAGTGGCACACGAACCCCCCGACAGCTCGGTTCTCGAGCACCTCCAGCTGTGGGACCCAACCCACCACCCTCCCCTTGCTCCCCGTCCGGCCAAGAAAACCTTCCGGAAGGACCCCCTCATAATCCGCGTACTCGCTCGGGAAACCCGCGCTTCCGGACGAACGGCGCCGTAGGGCCCACAAGAACCGTGTCCCGCTCCTCTCGAGCCCAACGGCCAGCTCCCGAACCTGCTCCTCATCCAAGCTCCCCTGACTCCCGAAGCAAACGAACAACACAGAACCGGGAGGCTGCTCGTCGAGCCAACCGAGCGCTGCGGGCCGATTGAGACACGGCCCGCGGTTCAAAATCGGGCCAACCGGGTACACCGGAGGGACAGGTCGATTCCCATAAGCCGAACCTAATGAAAACGAGGCAATTGCGTCAGTCTCCAGATCGGTGAACGTATTTACGAGTATGCCCTTGGCTCTCCTGTAGTCTCGGGCGTAGTGGAGGAAGCGGTCGAGCCACTGCCGCTCGTCTACAAGGACGAGCGACATGACCTCCGGCGGGACGGGCTTTTCGAAGCTCGGGATTCGTATACCCGTTTTCAAATTTTTTAAACCGGGCACGTCTTGATTCTGCTCGTCGTGCAGCGTCTGGCAGTGGAGCATTGCTCCGAGGAAGCTGGCGGGCGAGGTGAAGAACACGTAGGCGGGGAGGCCGAAATCCTCCGCGACGCGGATCATGGAGGTGCACAGCATGTCGACCAATAGGCCAGCGATGTTTGACCTGTGGGCTTTGAGGAAGTCGGAGATATTTGACTTTTGGCTGAGGACGAGGCTGTGGATGAAGTATCCGCGGGTTTTGGAGCTCCACTCGGGAGTCGGGTCGGTTTGAGGTAGCTGGAAGAAATGGAGGCCTGGAGTGGAGGAAGGGGAGGAGCTGAGTAGGTCGGCGTAGGACCCGCTTACGGTGTCGATTGAATCGGGAATCTTCATTAGGAGCACAGTGATTGACAGAGTTTTACCTGCATATGTATATGAGTGTTGTGTGAAAATGAGATTACTAATTGTCAGCGTTTTCATTCTAACCCGGTGAAGCAAAACGGAACGTAAGATCATAAATCAGTAATTAGAGACACAATCACAATGTGCAACAAGTTTTAAGTCATCATGTCCTGTTTATACTTCATAAATCTTGAACTCATATATGCGATTCTACACGTGAGTATTCACGATCTTGATTCAATACGAGTTCATACCCGGGTAAGAACACATGGAATCACAACAAGGAATAGTAATTTAACCATATACATTTCCAGCATTTACATGTTCCACCAACTCCAGAAATAGTTTAAAATATTTGCTTAACCAATAGAAAATGGATTAATACATTTCTGTTTCATACAAGAAAAGCGTAAGGATCATCCAATCCCAAAATTCACACAAGGCCCATTTCTTTTCAGGCCACTGTTGAAATTACATATGCCACTGTCAAAATGTCAAGTCAACTGAGATTTGAGAGGGCTTTTCCAAGCTCTAACGTTTTCTGATCTAACAGACCCATTGGAAAACAAGAACTCATGGAACCAAATTCACTGTTCATAGATTGAGACCACAAAAGTATACCTTTTTCCTCATAAACTCAAGATCTATAGTTTTTTGTTGCTATATATATTTAAAAATCAAGCTGAATTCAGTAAGTACTCAAATCGAACTTGCAAAAATCCCAGATTTTAGCTGTAAAATGATAATTCGAGCTCCAAGTACACAGCAAAACAGGAAAGGTGCTCGATAAAGGTCGAACCAGAGAAATTACCACGAGGGAGAAGATTTTGACGGCGGAGGATGAGCTTGGCGAGCTCGACGATCTGCACGTGGCCCATCACCGGCCATGGGACGCAAACTAGTTGCAGAGGTTCGCCTTCTGCCATCTCTCTCTCCCTCTCTCTCTCTATTATGATCTCTCTCTCACTTATTGTATTTTTATTTTTTATATGCTGATTGGAAATGAAAAAGGAGACCTTTTTTGTTTATTTGCATCCAAGTCCTTGTGGTTTCAACGTTTGATTGAAGGATGAAATTGTAGTTTACAGTTTGTTTGTTATTTTATTTTATTTTATTTTATTTTTTGTCTCTATTTGCTTGTCTCTATTATTAGAAATAGAATAGAATTTGCTAACTCTCCATTGTTAGAGTGATTATTCTCCTCCACTGTAAAAATTGGTTGATTTTGTTTTGGCTCATGTTTATGTAGTGTGGGATTTAGGGTACTTGTAAGCCTTATTATATATAGGATCATCTAGTTGTTTTGATTCAACTGAATTATTAATATATGTATATAGTTTTTTTTTTTTAAAAAAAATGAATTTGCTCTTCTTTCCACTAGCATTGGTTCTAAAATTTTGTAAATGAAATGTGAACTTGAGACCCAATTTTTCCTATTTTCGCATAAACTTAATGTTGTTTTATTTTAGAAAAAAGTAAATTGTAATTTACAACGTCTGATTCACCTTAACCGCATCATACACCAGTATGATTTTCCGAATAATTTTGCATAATTTTTTACCTTACAAAAAATTAGTAGCACCAACTATTTGATTTTTAATCACTTATTAGTGATATCAAAATGACTTTGCAACCAAAAAAATAGAGAAATACATTACATATCATGTAAATCATTAAGTCTCAAGATGTCAAGTGTACATTCTTGTTCTTTCTCTTCTTGAATTTCTTCACAGCTGCTTTCATCACTTTAGCCCATGCCTGCACATTCCCAAAAAGCTCATAAATAACACAGTATTATTATTATTATTATTCAATAAGATAATATCAATAATTTCAAGGAGTGTTGCACAAAAAAAAAAAGTCTTTACTCTTATTTTTCTAGCATTATAAGTTTATAATACTTACTTGGATAACTTTTATTCAATAGAAAGCCCATTTTCCATTTTTTTTTTTTCCGTTTTTTACATATACAAACTTTTTGCCAGCACAGCTACACAAATCTGCACTTCAAAAACAATTAACCAACAAAAAAAAGTACCTTTGGACTTGGGGAAGACGAAGACAGCCGGCGGCCCGAGCCTGCATGAGAAAGCCCGAAAGACTTCCTCTTTCTCCTCTTCATCTTACTGCATCCCCTGACATTTCCAAGTACGGTATCGGCAAATTTCCTCTTTATTTTCGCAGCCATTTTCTTCGTATTTTCCATAAAGCCGCCGGTTTCGCCGTACGACAGCCGACGGGAAAGGTCGAGTCTGGCGGCGGCGGCTGGCGGCGGCCGGGGGAGCAGAGGGGACCAAATGGAGCTCTGTGCGTAGTTGAAATCGAAAGCAGAGTTGTCCGGGAACTTGCCGAGGAGATCGGTGGACATGGAAGATTCGAGATACTCGACAACCTTTACCAAGGGGAGCGAATCTTGGCCGTCGATGGAGATTTNAATACAAAAGTAAAAAAAGTAGGTGGGAACAGAATTAAATTGAGAAAATTAGTGATGGGAATGGTTTCTAATGTTGTTTGGTGCTAGAAATGTTTGAGTTTGGGAGTGAATAATTTTGATTCATTAAGTTTTATGAAAAATGTGTGTGCTATTATTTATTTTTTTGAATTAGCACTATTACAAAAAAATATACGTGTAGTAGCAATTTTAGATTTCAATTCATAACTCGTAAAAAATTTAAAGCACAAATGTACAATTCGAGATCTGACAACGTTAAACCTTGAGACGAAGGTGACAGTCGTGGGTCCCAACTTTGCTGGCGGCAAAAGCACCGCCTTAGCTAGCTGTTACCTTTTTCATGACGGGTTGTAAACTCTCTGACTTTGTTGTAATTAGTTTTGTTAAATTAAACGAGTTCGATCTGCTCTTCTCGTCTTGATATGGCTCATTAAAGCTCGAAAAGAAAATTTTTATATAATTTTTTATAATTCGACTCGTTATTAGTGATACACGACTCGAGCTCAAACTCAATTTCGTGCTCATTTATTTAATGGGACGAGCTCGGTTTGACTCGTTTATTTAATGAGCTGAGCTCGGCGCGTTAAGAGCTCGAGCTCGAGCACTACTCAACTCAATTCGTTTACGGGCCTAGTTGTAATCCACTGTGTCTGTGTGTATGGAGATGATTAAAAGGGATATTATTAGTCCCACACGGAATTCTTAACAAAGTAGATTAGTGTGGAGATGGTATCAAATGGCCTTGGGGTGGTTTAGTTAAAAGGCATCTTTGCGCTTGGGGCAATGACGCAGCTAGTGAGGTACTAACAGAGGCGCGTCTATTGCAGGTTGAAAACTATTTCCAAACCCCCTCTTGGGCCTGGGCTTGACCTTGGCCCTCGAGAAATTTTTGGAAGGCCTGCCATTGGGTTAGGCCCTAAAATACTTTGTTTAATAATTTGTGGATAAATTTTATTCTACTTTTTATTTTATTTTCTGTCGGAGAGCACAATTTGGTAAAGTTTTTTAAAAAGAGCTTATATGTTTAAAAAATAATTTGATTTTCTATAAAAAAATATTTTTTTTTTTATTACAAATTTTAAATAATTTAGTTTTAAAATAAGACTTAATATATCTTATTAGATCTAAAAATATTTTAAAGGATACCACATGTGAGATCAATTTAACAATGAACTGTACATAACATGGTTAGTTATAATACATTTTAATAATTATATATGTGCATATTAAATGGTTAAATATCAATCCGATTGATATCCAACATGATCAATTCCCGAATCCACCAAGTCACGGCTAGATTTCTGATTGGATTAGTTATTCGAGTCTTGATTGGCCAGGTTGTAAACCAATTCGAATAGCTAACCACATTGTGGTTCGATTCTAAGTTGGCCCGTTGGCCCGATCCGAATAAAAAAGTCACTGCATCGAAATATAATGAATCAACTTTTCCTAAGAATAGTTGAATGGATTGTGCATGCAGTAACATAATGAAACCCTACTAGCAAGTAGCCATAGATATATCCAAAAATAAAAAATAAAAAATAAAAACAGTATCTCATAGAATATGTATGGGGTCTAGCTCTATTGCCCATTTCATTTTCATCACTACTTACCAGCAAAATCACTTCTGTCCAACTGCATTATATATATCTTCCATGTTACAATTAAAATAAAATTTTGTAAATGAGGAAAATAATTTGTGTTCTACACAAAATATATATATATATATATATAGCATAGACAAATCCAATGGTTTTGCCTGCACACACTGAAAGTTGTCCCTTCTCATATCTACATTTGCCCTCATCCACAAGTTCACAAGTAATTTGTTCTTATAAGCAACAACATACTTATGAAAGTGACATATTTTAGCAAGTAACATGATCAATAATCTTTAAATTCAACATATACCCGCACGAGTATGTATGTGTGTGCGCGTGTAATTGACAATACACACATTGCACGAGTATCTCTTCTAAGTTTGTTTAGCAATGTCGATCCATTATCTATTTTGTTCGACTCAATGAAACGAGCAAAATGAAGATAGAATATGCGAATACCTTGAATATAAATAATTCCAACATGTAAATATTGCAAGAATATAAATTTAGTCAAATAAACAATAGCTATAGTCTGTTACCGTTATGAAATATTTCATAAACATTTCAAAAGAATTCAATGTTTCCACATGATGTTATAATTAAGTAAAGTCACTGTTGAGCATCAAATTTTAGGACCAGCAAAGAATTACTCCTCTCAAACGGGTGGATTGTCACCATCATGTGCAACCCATTAATCCCACTAAATTACTGAAATTAATTACATCGTCCAAAAAAATAAAATAAAAAAAATTAGGATGTCTAATTGTCTCACCGTACTTTTTGAACAAAAATACATTATTATTATTTTTTTTTCAAATATCACATCTATAAAAGATAATATGCATATTGAGATAAAATTATAACTACAATTAGACATTAAAAACAGCCTTACGGATTTTGCAGAGTTTTTTTTCCCCGGTGCACACAAATTACCGTGGGACCCACCGTACCCACCGACGCCCACAAGCATTCTCCTCCGCTGCTCTGCGTGCACACATTAATGATTTCTAGTCCTACTTGTACTGTAGCGTAGCTTTTTTCCATTTTCAATATTTTCATATTATGTTTTTACTTTTATTTCTTTTTATTTTCCATTTATGGCATTTAGATCTTTTAAATTTAGTATTTAATAATCAGTTTGATGTGAACATGATGTGAAACTCAAGATTAAACTCCAAAATATTTAGAGCTACTGCATATAGATTCATATTCAATTTTNAAAATAATATATAGCTATTCTGTGATGTTTTACTTTGATGAATGTAAACCAAACCAGTACTGATTTTGCGATTTAATATTTCGTACTGATATGAATAGTCCAATTAATATTGTTGTTGACCAAAACATTTTCATAAACTATGAATAAAATAGTTAACTATTTACAGGGGAGAAAGGAAGGAAATATGACATTTTTGGCTACTTTTTCAGGTTTTTGTACTCTACCAGACTAGCATGTGAAATTTCGTGTCTGAGTTTTTTTAATAATTATACGACATGCATGAAATGTCTTTATTTGTACTCTTGTTTAGTCTATTACTATTATGTGGTCCATTATAATCGAATCTTAACATTATGTTATTTAAATTTTAAATGAAACAAAATATAAAGCCTCATCAACACAAATTGGTTAACAATCATAAGTCCAACTCAATCAAAAGAGTCGAACCAAATAAAATACAACAAAAACTAAAACACACTCGCACAACCCCACAATTTAATCTATGCAAAATAAAAACAAGAATTAACATGCAAATATACCATAAATAGACCTAAAATATGTTGTTTTCCTTTTACAATAATATCTAATTACTTACACTACAAATCCCGTGTCCCATTCAATCAAACAACTTGACAACTACACCTCAAGTAAAAACTCCAGAGTAATAACAATTATTAACTTTTTACTATTTAAAGTTGGAAAAAAAAATACACACAACCCCCAAAAAAACAACAAATTAAAAAAAAATAATTAAAAAAAATAATTAAAAAACTTGTATACTGCTGTAAAAGAAAAAAAAAATAAAAAATGAGCCAAATTCCAAAAAGAGATCCCCATCTAATGAAACGCGGAGCACTGGTACGCCGGCCTCGACAGCTGCTCCCCGGTGCTCGCCGGGCAGGCCGTCAGCCCCAGCGGCGGCGCCGCCATACAGTTGTACGCGGCGCACACCGCCGCCGCGTCCGGCAGCGTGGACCCCACGTCCATCGGAAACCCCGTCAAGTAGTTGTGCTGCAGGTACAGCGTCCTCATTTCCCCTTTCATCACGCTCTCTGCGTACTCGTTGGGAACGACGCCGTTTAGCCTGTTGTTGTTCAGGAACACCGCCTCCGCCCCCGTCAAGGCGGTGCTCACCTCCCCCGACAGGAAATTGTGGCTGAGGTCCACCGTCGAGCACGGCCACGGCGGCGATTGCGGCACGCGCCCCGTGAGGTTGTTCCTCTGGAGAAAAATTGAGGAAACGCCGGGCCGGAAGAGGGACTCTGGGACGGGCCCACTGAACTCGTTCGCGCTGAGGTCCACGTAGGCGAGCTCCGGGAGGGAGTCCAGGCAGTCGATTGGACCGCGGAGGCGGTTTCTAGAAAGGGAGATGTACCGGAGAGCAACTGGGAGCCGCGGCGGGAGGTCGCCGGAGAAGGCGTTTACGCTGAGGTCGAGGTGGAGGAGCTGGTCGGGGAGGAGGTGGGGGATCTGGCCGGAGAGCATGTTGGAGGCGAGGACGAGGACCTTGAGGCTGCTCGCGGCGGGGATCGACGGCGGGACGCCGCCGGAGAGCTGGTTACTGCTGAGGTCAAGGGTGTGGAGGCTGGGGAGTTGGAAGATCCCGGCCGGGATCTCGCCGGTGAGGCGGTTTCCGGTGAGGGAGACGACCCGGAGGCCGCGGAGGGAGGCGAGCTGGGTGGGGATGGGGCCGGTGACGATTCCGGCGAAGAGGATGAGCTGGGTGAGGCCGGAGAGGCGGGCGACGGCGGGGGAGAGGGTGCCCGCGAGGCCGGGGGAGCCGGAGAGGCCGGTACCGAGAGAGAGGACGGAGACGCGGCCGGTGGTGGGAGAGCAGGTGACGCCGGCGAAGGAAGTGCAGGGGTCGGCGGCGGCGGAGGAGAAGTTCCAGGTGGAGAAGAAGCGGGCGGCGGAGGGGATCTCAGTGAGGGAGTTCCTGATCTGGAGGAGGGCGGCGAGGTCGACTGGGTCCACGGCGGCCGAGTAAGTCACGGCGAGGAGAATGACACCGAGCGCCGGCAAGTTAGCATAGGGATAATTTATCACCATTTTTTGGAATAATTTTCAGTTAGCCCGATTTTTTTCTTCTTTTATTTGTGTGAAAGTTAGTGAGTGAGAGAGAGAGGAGAAAGGTTTTAACCGTTTGTGTGTTTTGTCAGCTTTTGGAGTAAAAGATAAGATTGAATTTAACATATTTTGGTGTGATTATAAGATGACCGTATAAGGTGATGTTCATTGGTGGTTGCTTTTATATTTTATTTATTAGTTTTTAATTATGTGTCATGTGTTATCAATGTTGGCTCCTCCTCTGTACTGTAATAAATAGTACAATGAGGTAATAAAATAGATCAAACTGAGTTAGCAAAATCAAGCTGAAATTGAAGAACTTAATCTAACTGTTTAGTTCAATTCAGTTCGGTTTAATTTGTTATTGAATGAATATTTTTTTGTCCGGTTTCAATTCATTTTTTTTTANTATATAGTAGCAAATTAGATATGAATCTAAGAAAATGTTGAAGCAAAAATAAAAACTTTGAGCCGAACCATGCATTTCGATACGATTCAATTCGATTATTTTACTATACAGGAATTATGATTCAATTTTTTTTCTATGTTGCTGAGGTTTATTCAGATATTTTTTGTGAAGTTTGATTTTCTTATTTTTTGTGGAAGGAACCACAGCCGAGGCGCGCATCCAGCAGCGAAGGATCTTTGTCCGCATTCGAGCTCACAACCAGGCTGAAGATCGCCGATAGTTGCCCGGGAGAGACGAACCCCGTTCGCGGTTTGTCCCGTGCGTAGCCGAGTACTAGCCGCCCAGGATCGCGGATCGACGTGGGGAATCCAACCGAGGCTTCGAACAAATCCGATCTCCCTCTTTTGCGTGTAGATTCCCAAAGAGAGGTGAATCTCGAAAATCCTCTTTTTATTTAGTTCAACTAAATTCCTTTAGAGTGAAGTTTTGGATCTTTAAGAACTGAGAAAAATTTGTGAAAAATGGTGGACTTGGGAACTCTTTTCGTGCCATGGACTTAGCCTTGTTTTAGCCTTGAATTTTTGGTATTGTTGTGTTTCACTTAAACCTTGGAAAAATGTTGGAAAATCCTTGCTTGAACTTTGTTTGAAATCGAGAACTGAAAGCCAAACTCTGGCCGGGAGCAACCACGCGGGTGGCCAGGTCCATGAGCCATGCCAAGAGACGCGAGGCCAAGCGTGCAGCCGACAACGACTGGGCGATGACGCGGTGGCCAGGCCCGACGAATGAAGGAGATGCAAGACGAGGTGGCTCAATATTGTGATGTGTATGAGGGGCTGTTGTATTCAAATGGAGAGTAAATGTATCGTAGGTCGACCAATTGAGGACCACGATCATTAGATACTTCCATGAATCAAAGATCGGGGGACATTCAGGTGTCTGTCGTACGTGGGTGCGAATAGCCAACACCTTTTATTGGCCTGAACAGAAGAGTGAAGTGCGGGATTATGTGACATATTGTGATGTCTATCAACGAGTTAAGTTGGATTCGCGAAGAACAAGTGAATTATTGCAACCCTTACCGCTACCCGATTGCATTTGGGAGGATATCTCTATGGACTACATTGAAGGGCTACCGAGGTCGAATGAGTTTAATGGGATAATGGTGGTGGTGGATCGACTCACCAAATATGTTCTACTTACACATCCTTACACAGCGAAATCCATAGACAGGGTCGTCTCCAGAAATTTGGAGGCCCAAGACAAGTTTGTTCTTTTCGAATTTTTCGATTTGAACTTGCGTGGTAATAAGGCTATTTGCAGATAGAATCATAGAAGAAAAAAACCTAATTAAAAAAGACTATTATATAAATAAATAAATAATTAAAAAAAATAATGTTTCTTATTTTTCTAGACTTTAGAATTGATAAATTACCTATGGGTTACAAAGATCTTTAATAATTTACATTCAAACAGAAAGAAAATAAAAATCATATCACTGCACAGAATATATATTCTCACACAATTGTTCTAACCGAACATCATAAGAAAACAAATGAAATATTTAGGGCCTCAACTTTCCACACAAAATATATATTTTGTCATTAACTCATTCATTAATTAGCCCTTCATTGTATAATGTGCCAAACTCATCACAATACATAACATTGAAAAAAAAAATGGGGCCCCAAATATATGCCTAGGTTGCCTCCCTAAGGAGCCGGCCCAGTCCACAGCCTAATTATTTGTGGAATACATAGTCAAATTGCATGGGGTGCCGCGATCTATTATATCTGATCGGGATCGAATTTTCGTGAGTAACTTCTGGAAGGAATTCTTCAAGATGCACGTTACTGAGTTGGCAATGAGTTCAGCATACCATCCTCAGACGGACGACCAAACTGAGGTAACGAATTGTACTTAGTTGTTACGTTCATCAGTTTCCAAAAATAATTGGAGGAACTTTTTCCTGGGGCTGAATTTTGGTATAACACTATGTATCATGCATGTACCAAGTTTACTCCATTTGAGTTGGTCTATGGACGGGCTGCGCCCGTGCTCATTGGATATACGGGGGGGAAATCACCGAATGCCGAAGTCGATCAAGAGCTAATGGAGAGGGACTTGATGATTCGGGAACTCAAGACTAACTTGTTTGGTTCAATCAACCGAGTGAAGGAATATTACAATAAAAGGAGACATGAAGAGCAATTTGGGCCAGGTGAGTGGGTTTACTTGAAGTTACGGCCTTATCATCAATATACGTTTTCGTAAATGGCTCCGTATAAGCTCGGTAATCATTTTTGTGGGCCATATCAAATCAAAGAACGAGTGAGAATGGCAGCATATCAGTTGGATTTACCGGTAGAATCTTAAATACATCCCGTCATTCACATTTCCGGACTAAAAAGGAGTCTAGTTTATAGTCATGCAGTTCAAACTTGGCTACCGGAAATGGGTCAAGAAGGACAACTCCCTCTATGACCTAGCTGGGCATTAGTCTACCGAAGAGTAAAGAGAGTCAGGCGATTACGTTGGGAGGTTTGGATTGAAAGGGAAGAGTTACCCGAGGAGGAAGCAACATGGGAAAATGTTCATGACATGCGAAATCAATTCTGCAATTCATTCTTGAGGACAAAGATTTACTCGAAGAGGACTCGTAGCGAGCTCTTCTCACCATGTTCGGCGTCGCGATTGCAACAGAGACCTCAGGGCCTTGTAGCATCACGTTACGAGGGTCTTCACACCGCGACATCCCTTGAAGCTTCACGCCGCGACCCCTCCATTAATGGTAGTGGTTGCATGGTGGTTTGCGAGTGTTTTTATCAGTTTTATTTTCAAAGTTCAAGTTCTTTTGTTGTGTGTTTTCGTAGGGAACAAATCTTGAAGAAGCTTGAAATGGTTGGTGTAAGGTCATTATGCAATAAATTAACAAAAAAACGCTCATTTTCGGGCACAAATTCTTGTGTCGACTAAGGCCACCTAACGTGGGTTTACACAAATATACGTATTCGATACATGTTCATCATTAATCATTAACAACAACACAAGCATTCAATAAAAAACTCAATAAAGGCTTATTTACAGTTCTCTATTTGACTATTTTATATATCCTGATTAATTAACTAATATATATATGAGCATAATTACTTTAAATCTTATATATGACTATAAATAGAGACTCAAATGATAGTTCATGTATACATATTTTTGGCATTAAAAAGTCATTTTGTTTTTCCAAGTATTTGATAAAATTGGTTTACATCAATCTCAATCATACAATATATATTTTCCAATCTACATAAACGACAGTGCATGTTTCTCTAAAAAAATAGGAAAAACTTATAATATAACAAGGTTATGAGTTATTTTTCAAAGAAGTATAAACTCAGCCGTAAGTAAATGTAACAGTCTAAGCCGTAAAGTAAAAATAATAGTAATACAATACACTTTTTTATTTTATTTTGTTTTTGTATTTCTTAATAGAAGAATTCTGGAATAACTCTTTGGAAGCAATCATATTTCTTAATATTAAAAATATGATTTTTCATATTTTGTATTTCTTTTCTTGTAAATATAAATGAGTATATTTAAAATAAAGTTTTTTTTTTTTTTTTTTTAGNAAGAACAATCTGGTTCGTGTATCACACGTGATGCAAGCAGGGCCAATATTAAAGAAACGGTGTTAATATATGCATACTATTAAATTATCCATATCTACATAAATAATCTTGTCCTCTTGTTACAAAAAATTATTGAAGTTGAATCTCTAGACGTGTAGGTTAATGGAATCAATTAACCGAACGATCAATTTCTTCATGTTTGCTTTTGGAATCAGGAACGATAATCACCGACTACCTAGTTTCTTCATCGATATCCATATCTTGTTCGAGTTTAATAATTGCGTTTTTTGCATTGTTTGGAATATTTATTTGTTAATCAAAAACCAAAATCAATTGAACTAGAGTGTTTAGAATTTTAATTCCTCTCCTTGTGCTTGAATAATCGTACGAAATGATTTATTTTTTTTTCTAGGTTTTTTTTCTTGTGTTGGTGTGTGTTTTGGGTTTGCTTTATGGTCTTATTCTCTTCTTCTCCTCTTTAGGAGTGTATATTTTCCCTTGAGAGTTCGTGTTCTCAACTTGTTGGAGTTCCTAATTTTTTTGTGGAACTCTATCGTTGCCAAAAAGAGGAAAAAAATAAAAACCAACAGAGCCAATATTATTAAAGGAGGTACACAAAGCAACAAGTCATAGTCTAGTTTTATACCCAAAGCAACAGTAGGTTTAGTTTTACAGCCGAAATTGCAAAAACATAGTGCTTCCCCTATTTCCCGTTCTTCGCCTTCTCTGCTTGTGATCTGAGTCGCATATAAAACATCTTATATCAAGTTAGGGTACCAAAAGCAAATTTTTGCCATAAAAATCCACACATTCAGCAGCATCAACACGCAGTTCATGAATCCTAAATGGGACGGATTTTGCCAGAGGCAGGATCTCAAATTCAAGGATTTGTTTCACAAGAATAAAGACCAAAACAAAAGAAACAAAAACTAGACTCTTCATGGAGTACAAACCTTAGTTCTTCCAACTGATCACTGACCTTGTAGGAAAGCTTCCTGTCAATAATCGCAGACAATAAAGAGTCATTAAAGCATTCTATTTTTGTTCATCAAACAGAACAAAATTAAATAAAAATGGATTGCAATCATGACCATCTCATTTTAAACAATACATGATGTAGCATGAAAGGAAAACAATAACTTGTACCTAAGTAACTGAATTTTCACCCATTTTAAATTAACATCTTTCATAGTTTAGAACTTTGAATAAAGTTTGGCGATACTCGATAGCATTTACTTTTAAAAGTGACATTCAGCAATATTTTGAGCAACACTACAGTGCAAAGCACACTTTAATTTCTTTTGCATGCTGTCTGACGATTAATTCAGCAAAACTCAAAATAAGTGAACAAGTTTTGAAAAGGATTACTCGGCATCCAACCATGATTCCTAACCCGATCATTAGATCCAAACATAGATGACAAATGATCAATGTTAGACCATAAATGATTTGAGACCAATAGAGACCACAAAATAAGAGCACTATACGTAATGTAGATTCAGTAATCAACTAAGCACTTGGAAAAACAATATCAGACAAACATAAAGATTCTTAAGCCAAACCGTTCATTGGCGAATTCAGCATAGAGCCCCTTCAGTTCTTTAAATGCTTTCCTGCAACGAGAGATTGTAAAGGATGCCAATTAGGGGAACATCTAATTATTCACATGAGATCAATAAAAAAAATAAAAAAATGATTAGCATTATCGTTAAAAAGTTTGATGCAAAAGGAGGTCAAAATGATCTAGAACCTGTGGAATGCATTATGCTATCTATACACATTTGGGAATTACTACTTCATTATATTGTCAACATTCTTAAAAAGTAATAGATTAAACATATTATAGTTTTGGTTTTGTGTATGTAGGGTACTTTGTGTATTTCAACTTATTGAGGAAGTTTAAATTTTTCCAATTAATTTTTTCAGATACTGATGGAAAAACTTTGAACAAACCAAAACTTTGTGGAAATAATCGAGTCTCATATATGGTTCAACTTCAAACCGTATGCAACACGTATCAAAAGAACTAAGCATACATAACTTGGGTAAGCAATGAGGGAACTTACGAGTCACCATAATCAATGCTGTCATATCACAACCGGAGCGGGTGAGAGAGAAAGAGACAGAAGGGACACTTCACAGTCAGTTCATAAAAAGATAGCCACAACGATAAACTAACTTAGGCATAGCAAGCAGATACTTACAACTCAAAAAAACGCCAGATGAAAACCGCTCCCAGTAAATTCTTAGTTACCGATTCAGTGGTAATCCCTCTTTCAGTTTCTCGAAATGCCCTATATACAGAGAAATTGCCAGCTTACAGATAAAATTTAGTACAACCAAGAGACAGGAATAACACTAGTATTACCTCAATTTAGACCAAAACTGAGGTGAAGGAGTCAAGGAACTTGCTGCCCCCGGTGCAGATGCAGCCCGACTGAATTGTGAAACACAACACAATAAATTAAATATCGACCACCACCACCACCACCACCACCAACAACAACAACAACAAAGTGTGAAACATTGCATACCTGATTGTATGGAACATAGCACGCAACATACCTGAAAATACAAAGAAAACGTTAAAACCGAATGGGATTTAGCTTTAATAGCCTATCTGAAATTTAATGACCGATTGAAACGCATAAAAACAGAAAAGAAAAACCTATCCGTCACATAATATGTAATTTGAGATCAAACGGAACTTTATAACATAAAAAATTTATAATGTGGTTTTGATTTGCGTCGGCCGCGTCACACGACGTCCTCGGCGACGGATTTACCGGGGATCGGCCTGGAGAGGCTGAGATCGTGTGACGTGACGTCCGTACAAGGCTTTCCGCCGGTTTCTTCGGCCGATGAACAGAAAACCTCAGACGGGGTCCGGCTCGAGGGAAGGCGGTGGTGATCTTCCGTGTGTGCGTATGTGTGTCTGTGTGTGTGTGTGTGTGTGTGTGTGTGAGAGAGAGAGAGAGGGTTTACTTCTTCTGCCGGGAGAATGAATTGTGGGTAGAATGATGTCAATTGGAATTTGTGAGAACGCGCGCTGTTCCGTCACAAGAAGTTGTGCTCGATTACAAGAGTTTTAAAGGAAAAAATATGTCAAACTTGTAGCAAAGGTAACATAAACTAGTATTCGACCTGTGCATTTGCACAGATATAAATAAATTATTGTGAGTTTGTACATATAATGATTAATTATTTTTTTTTCACTTTTTTGCAGACCAAATTTACAATTAAAAGAGTTGGAATATTTTTTTTTTTTAAATTGCGTTTATCTGATTGGATGTAATGTATATTTTGGTACGTCTTTTATTTGTGAATTATTTATTATTTATTTAAGAATTTCAAATATATTTTTTATTTTAAAAAAAAATATTAAATGTAACAACAATAATAACATCTAATCACATTATACGGTCAACACATTATATATTCAACAATCAAAAGTTTAAATTGATTTTTGTAATTTTGAAGTGATGAGTATTAATTATTTAATGATTAAATGGAAGATTAAATACATCAAAATGTAACGGTTTTTGGAGGGAAAATTTTTAAATTGCCACATAGGTAAAATTAAATAGGTTTTATTAAATTCTATTAGCTAGTAATTATATATATATAGATTAACAAAGTAGAATACTAGATATAGAAAATTAACGTTTTTCATAAATTCAGTGCTTGGATAAAATTGAATGAGTATTTAGGTATTTAAAAATAATAGAGTAAGCCTATATTAGGCCTAATACTAATTCTAACACAACTAAATATCTAATATCTAAGAACTAATAATTAAAATTCCTAACAACCTATACGAGCTAATACATAAATAAATATCATAACTTGACAAATCACCTAACTAAATTAAACTAAACTCACGGCACTAACTAAATAAATATAAATCCTAACAATCCTTTAATTGTAGTGCTCCGTTCAAATAATAAGAGTCGATTTATTTATCTTTGTATTTACATTGCGTTTATTTTATTTTTCTTTGCTCGACTAATTTATCTAATAAGCTTATTATGATTATTTAGATGTCCTCATATGTTTAATCTAACGAGTTAAATAATTTTTATAAATGTCATCGTCTACTTAAATTATTCCTCCGTTGGCTAAACGTAAAATCCTTCAATTTTCTAAGTTCGAACGCAAACCCTTTTTGAACCCTACTTAACCCATTTATCCCAGCACAAGCCCATGGATTTTTGGCCCATTTTATGCTTCGATTTTTGGCCCTTTTGTGGCTAAGGATTTTGGCTCTAAAACCTCCTTTCAAATTCAATATCTTGTAAACCTCCTTTCACACAAGGCCATCCGCAGCAGTCGTTTCGAGAAGGAACCACAGTCGAGGCGCGCATCCAGCAGCGAAGGATCTTTGTCCGCATTCGAGCTCACAACCAGGCTGAAGATCGCCGAGAGTTGCCCGGGAGAGACGAACCCCGTTCGTGGTTTGTCCCGTGCGTAGCCAAGTACTAGCCGCCCTGGATCGCGGATCGATGTGGGGAATCCAACCTATGGAAATGGAAATGAAAAAGTCTATTACCATTAGCAATGGGTAAAAAAAAGAAATTTACTGGGCGCGGACTTAGAGCATGTTTGTTTATAAAATTTTTCAAAAAATTTCCAACATTTTAACTCAACTTTAATTCAACCCCACTATCATCAATATAATTAAATAATATCAATCAATCATTCATGCACACCACATCAACCTAATTACTATTTATCTACTAACATTATTTTAACTAACTATCACTTCAAATCATCTCTCTCATACTTTTACATCAAATCAATTTTAATTTATTTTATTTTAAATATTACTTTAATATACTCACTAACAACTAACCATACCACCTTTTTCAAAATTAACCAAACCAAACCAAAAAATCCAAACAAAACAAAAAATTTCTATAAACAAATATGTCTGATAGCACCAAAAACAAGGTTGTGTGGTTGTTTTTCAAAAGTTTTTATTGTTGTGGGATCAGATATGGTTACGCATTTTATGAAANTTTCGTGTGATTTATGAAAGACGTACGGTTTATATACTTGATTTTCTGACAGCTAAATTGTTTTTTACCAACAAGGTCCCTTTTTATTTTTACGGCTGAATTTCACACCATGCTCCGATAATTTTCGAAAATAATGTTTTGAAACGTCATTAAATAAATACACTTAAAAATATATATATTTAATAAATTAATTTATTAATGACTATAAATTATAAGGAAATATTTGCTTGTATTTTTATTTGTAATAAATTATGTGTAAGGCTTAACATTTAGGGGATTTAGGCCGACAAACACAACATATCAAAATGTTCTTTTTGAGTTTTTCTGTCACGAACAAACTTTTGCTTCACAAGAGTTAGTGCACTAAAAAAAATCCTCTTTGTTCAAATATTGCTAATCTAGATGAGCTGCCTCCATTAATATTATAACTTATAATCAAATTGCTAATCTCTGCACAAAATTCCACATCCTGCATATAATGCTTGATGATTATGTTGGATATTTATCAACATGGAGAAAATATTTACATAACATGAACTATAAGTCCATATCCTGCATATAATGCTTCATCAAAGTTTACAAGGCAGCAAGAAAGTCATAATCATAGGAAAATTAATTTTCAAAAACAGGAAGAGCTGAGACAAAATAAGTTCATCTGACAAAATTTTAAATTAATCATGTAGCTTTTGCAAATACAAACATAATGATAAAATCCAAAAATACAAAAATAAGCTATAGTACAATGACCATCAATCTTGGATGGGCAAACACATGGGGAAAAAAAAGGAAAGAAAACGAAAATCAAAGAATTAACTTATCTGAGCCAAAAACTAAAAAAGACCACATTTATGAACCGAACCCTTTTTGGCTTCCAAACTTCTGAGTTAGTTGCAGTAGGAAGCATGCAGTGCCTCATTCGATCCGTGCACCAGCTTCTCGAGAAAGCTTTTTTTATCCGAATATCATCAAGTATGAATGGGGAAACCGTGTAAAGGTGAAATCAAAAGCTCGCCAAAATATGTCCTTCACCCACATCTATATCTATATATATCACAGAGAGAATCTGACTTCCATTTTTGAAATCAGCTCACGACACATTTTTCTCAAATCCAAATTATCTGGTAGCTCACTCACCCTCTGAATGAATATGTACACATTTGAATCGTATTTTTGTTTTTTTGGAGAGATTAAGAATTGGTAGAAACCTCTGCAGCACGTTGTCTCATCATCTCCATAACAGCAGCTCTTCGTCTGGAATCAGATTGTTGTTGTAGCCTTCTCATGTGCTCCTTCAAGTCTCTGCACCAAAATAATAAATAGAAAAATATAAATAATGAACGTGCATTTTCAATTCGGGCCAACTGTGTAAGGAATGGAGAAAAATAAAGTCCAATGAAAACCAATCACTGACCTGCATCTCGGAACATTGCACTCAGATTCTTTGCACGCACGAGCATGAAGCTGAAGAAGGTACCACATTTTCTTGCAGAGCACACACCCACCAGAAGCACGAACTTTGCACAACATACCGTGCCGGAAAAGTCCCTTAACCTTTCGACAGTTTGGATATTGACAGTGAGGAGAACGACATTGAGAGGCGTGCACCAGTAGCTCGAGCATTTTCCTCAGCTGTAAGAAGCCAAACAACAAAAGCTATGTCTCAAAAAACCATGCCGTGAAATTAGTACACTACCATATATATCCCATCACACAACACAACTGCATGCGCTCAAAATGTATTTTTTCGGTTAACCATGATTAACTTTTAAAAAGGTTGGTATGTTTAGTTGTAAGTGAGATTTTGAGGTTATATTAAAATAATATTTAAAATAAAATAATTAAAGTTGATTTGGTGTAAACGTAGGAAAAAGATGATGTGAAGTGATGGTTAGTTAAAATTATGTGAGTGGATCAATAGTGAATTAAAATTGATATGATGTATAAGAATGATTGTTTGATATTATTTAATTATATTAATAATACTGAAGATAGTGGAGCTGAGTTAAATTTGAGTTAGATTTTGAGTATATAAACTGAGTAAAAATTGAGATAATTTACAAACACACACCCTAAGAAAAGACAGAATATCCTTCCTCTTGAATGCAAACCGAAACGGTNATGTTAATAGTGAGAAAATGCCTGATAAAAACCGAATATCACTCACCTGCATGACTCGTAACTGTCTAGCTTCCTTGTTCTGTGCATCCCGATCGTTCGATGGATGATTGGTCAATTTGTGAGGATGATCAATTCCTCCATCCTTTGAATAACACGAATTGCACACATCATAGTCAGGACAAGTCTCACATCTCCAGCCTTGTCCGGTTTCAATATCCAGGTGGCACACATTGCATGTGGTCACAAAAGCTGGGGCAGTAGGGTTATGGAGATGATAAAGAACCATCATCGACGAGTGTTTAGCTCGACGGAGAGTATCGTATTGATAGTGATTTCCTTGACAAAGGCTTAGGAATGCCTGCCTCGTGTCGAAAAATTCGCTCTCGAGAATTTCATCTCTATCTTTCGTATCTTCAGGGACTCCCGTGGTTTCAAACTGCAATTTTTAAATAATTGCTTGCTTGAAAAGCTAATCAGGGTAAAAAGAAAAAAAAAATGCAATTTTCTATGGAGTATGTACTTACGGAATAGAGTGGATGTTTGTCTTTGTGGTGAATGGGATGTCTCTCTCTGTCTTCACGTTTTCTCTCGACATCATAGCATCTGAATTCAACAGAGATATATACGATTGGTCTAGTGGCTTAGGGTGTGTTTGTTTATCAATTATGAATTCATACTCAAAATCTAACTCAACTTTAACCCAACTCCACAATCTTCAATATTATCAATATAATTAAATAATACAAATTAATCATTCTTACACATTACATTAAATTTAATTCACTATTCATCCACTCTCATAATTTAACTCTCACTTCACATTATCTTTCTCTCCAATTTTTACATCAAATCAACTTTAATTATTTTATTTTAAATATTATTTTAATGTAAAACTCAAAATCCCACTAACAATTAACCATACCAACTTTTTTAAAATTAACCATGATTAACCAAAAAGAAACTCATTTTGAGCGGATATAATTGTATCCAAGCACACCCTTAGTGGTGACTAGTGGGTGGGCTTATCATGGTGTAGTGACAATGAACAGGAAAGATAACTTCTCAAAATCAAAACGTTAATCCATCTTATTCAGGTATATTTTCACCAATTATAATAATCAGTCAATTTCAATCATGAAGAGAAACGAGGTGGGATAAGAAAGAAGGAAATTGTTTGAACGACAAAAATGTAAAGATTATTAAGACAAGAAGTTTCTACTATGTCAGGACAAAAAATACACTGAATCCTTACTTGTCACAGAGCTGGAAGTTTTTGCACTGTTTGCAAACCCAACGATTTCCACAAACAATTAGAATGCAGCAGTGTGTGCAAGCATGCTGTAAGTGAACCATGATAAAGTCTTCCTTCATCGGCGATATAGTCTCACCAAGCTACGTAAAACAAATTAAAAGTTTTACAACTCAAGAAATAAAAAGCATTACAATAGATAAATAAGTGAGCAGCACTTCAAAAGAGTAGTTTAAGGGACAAATATAGTTTACTTTATGCATTAGCAGAATATCCTTTGATGCATTTCCGGAAAGATCGGTTTGGCCAGATGCCTTTAGAGCTCTTTTCGTAATGGTTTTTTTAAACATTCCCTTCTTATTCTGCTTCCTCCCTTCCTCTTCTTGTTGTATCTGAAAGATCATGTCCTCTGCTGCACCGGGCCAATAATCTCCATCGAAGTATGGCAATCGAGCTGCAGTAACTTTTGCTTTACATTCACCGGTAGTAACAAAGAAGTGGTCATACAGATTAGTAAGTTCAACAACGATATTTTCCTTAGCAGCTTTCCTTAACATGGCCAAATACCTGAAATGAAAAAATGCAATTAATTTTTTTAAAAAGAGAGAGAGAGAGAGAGAGAGAGAGAGAGAGGGAGAGAGAGAGAAGTAATAGAAATTTAGTGTTAATCACCAGAAACATAATTAGAGACATGTCATACTTACCATTCCCGGAGTTTATCAGATTTTGGTGTCTTTTGAATTTCTGGGTGGCAATATAAAATGTAGTCTTCCCCCTTCAATGGGGGGCAAGCCCAAATGTAGCAGCTCGAAAACCCTCTTTTTTTGCAGTATTCTAAGTATCCGATCTGAAAAGGTGAATATTACATCAAACAGAAAGAAGCATAAGTTCATAGATACAAGAGTCAGATACACAAGTAACAAGGTTAAAAGAGATAACACAAAACCAATTGATCACTTTGTAAATACTTTTTCCCAACTTTTAGCTCTGAAAAAAAAAAAAAAATACAAGAAACAAGTTTGGACACTTGCCAAAATTTCATGGTACACGAATGTCCGAAGAGCCTCTCCTGTCACTGCTCTAACCTCCGGCCTGAAATACTTGACCGAGTCCAAGTAAGACAGGTAGACTCGCCGATGATTTGGCTGTTCACATTCGGCTCCAAATTCTTGAACATACATTCCGAATAAGCATACTTCAACACCTTCAATTTTCTGAAACAATAGCACCACCTGATAGACAGGAATCAATGTTTTAGACAATCCCAGTTTTAGATATACGATATGTTAATTTCTTACAATATTAGAAAAGCAAGCAATCCAGTTATCTCTTGCATTTCACACGCTTGCAATTCACACGCTCAGCAATCATTCGGCAGTAAAAACTTTCACATTCAACCAAATTTTAATAGGCATCCTTCCTATCTTTTCCCATAACATCAGTAAAAAGTTATTTTATTCGGCAGAAAATATGTGTAATCTGTCCCAAAGTTTTTATAGCTAATTGGACTAAATCCGGGCATCATAATCTTATAGCTGCAAAATCTGTATGAACACATAAGACGCACCTTGGACTTGTATGGATACTCAACAGGATAGTTTTCTTCCTGGAAAATTTCAAGAAACCGTGGTTTAACTTCTAGCTTCTTGTCTACAGATGACACCACTCGTATAACAAGTGATTCAGCTCCAGGAACCTGACAAAGTGGCATAATCAGATAATTATCAAGAATAATAACAAAAAATCATAATAGTACTGAAACTGATAAAGGATTATTCAAAATATTATTGTTCTCATGGTGGGCAAATTCATATCCATCGGTTCAATTCTGTATGTAACCATATACTTCAGGATAATTGAAGATGAAAATACATTATGCTATACAATTATAAAAGGGGTCACCTCATCATAACTTTTGCCTTGTACCCTTGCTCTCTCCATCCTTTCTTGCTTCAACTTTGCAAATAAACGTTGCTCCATGTGATCACTCAAAATTGTTCGAGGCAGATCCTTAGCTCCTAGAACAGCACTCTGAGGCAATGGCACACGTTCACCTCTCTCAACTTCTTCTATATAACAATTTGGACAAGTGTACTCAGCTTGGCCACCATCATTTCTTCTCCCATTGAATAATGCACATATTTGATGTTGCCAAGCTTCACATCTGTCACATTGAACCCACTGCAAAAAAACAATATATATATATAATATTTAGTATGTCTATAACTTGCTCATGTGCGAACAACATCCAACGTTATCTGACATACCCATTCTTCAGTTTCTTCATCATTTTTCTTCTTTTCCATTCTTGCCTTTGGAATAGCAGACCCATCAACTGCAATGGTGTCACCACGAGTCTCGTTATAGCACGGAATGCAGAAATAATGGCGAGTTTCACCAGCTCCAATGGTGTAATACATATGATTCCTCTTAATGCGAGCACCACAAGGTGTACAATAAATAGGAGGTGGTTCAAAAGTAAGCTTCTCAACAGCACACAACTGGCAGGAATTTTCACTCATTGAGTGCTCCATGGCTTGATTTTTCTCTGCTTTTGCTTTGCTCTGCAAGGGAAAACAATAAATTTCGGAAGAAAAATGAATCACCCACAAACAAACTTGATAGTAAATTAAGATGCAAAGAAAAGGTGAGGGCAGACAAATAGGGAAAATTTAAAGCAACCAAAAGGACCTTGATGCAAAAGACGACAGTACTGACAGGTCACAATGGCTTATTAAATAAATTGCATTAAAGAATCAGTAGGCCACACAACAGCACAAACTTGGAAAAAGACAGTAACGATCAAAAAGTGAGGCTATAAACTTTATCTTCCCTTCCCGGAAGGATGACATAAAGCTCAAGAAAAAAAGAAGATTCATGTTAAGACAGTAGCATTATACAATGTCGAAGTCAGCACAGTAATTAATTTATAACTAATATACGTATATAACTTTCAGGAAGTAAAAAGGGGAAAGATTCATTACTCTAACCTGCATCTACCAGTTCATTATCTAAAATTATAACATGATAGCTGATAAAATTTGAAATAACAATTAATATATGAGCTGCTTAAACATGATAAATGCTCCCAGCCTTCAACTTTTTTCTGGGTTCGCTGAATTATAAATCCACCTGAAGATAAAGTATGTTAAATTACGCAGATAGTAATTAGTAGCACCCAAGCCTTTCTATTGGACATGAAAGCTGAAACGTTCATTTATCAGCACAAGAATGCAAATACAGACAACACAAAGTAGATACGAGATAAAGGGTGAAAAGCTGACCTGGCCTACCCACTGTCTAAGACCGGTAATGTGTTGCCGGACTTGTTCAGGGGTGAACAACTCCATCATTGATACTCCCTTTATTTTTGGCTTCCCAGACTTCGAGATACTCTCAGAAGGTAAAGGCAGATTTTCCATCTTAGCCTGCCCCATTTCCTTCTCATTCTTAACGACCTCATGTGTACTAAAGCCAGCAGAGGTTTTGGATGCAGTAGGACCGACTTCTGGCCTTTGGTGGTTGTAAGAATCTACCAAGTTATCTTCTTTCGTTTCGATCATTTTGGAACTTAATTGCTCAATACTCCCCAATGCTTCCATTTTCACTTCAGCAACTTCAGATTTCATTGGAATATGAGAATCGTGATGCTGTTCAGAATGTTTTGCACCCTGTAGAGTAGTTTCGTTTACAGCAGAAGCTAGCAAAGCAGAAGTTTCACTTTCAGAAAGAACGGACTGGGGTCCTTGTTCGATCTTCATCCGTTTAATAGAAGGCTGCAGATCTTCTGGAGTTACAGTCACCGCTGGGCTCAACTTAGGAACTTCAGCACTCTCAGACGGTTTACAAGAACCGTTGACAGAAGCATGCAACTTTGAACCGAAATCAGCACGAGCAATTGCCTTTAGTTGTGCCTGTTGCACGAAATTCTTAACAGGAACACATACTGGGCAGCTAGTATCTCGACATCGCCTATGATGGTTAACTAAGCCTCGACTTACACGGCAACGAGGATATGTACACTGAAATACATTGCAATCCTCCATGTGTTTCAATAGCTTCTGAACAGTTAAGCAATTAGACTCTTGACATTTTCCTTCCGGGGCCGGACATCGACGGGCATGTCTTAGAAACAACAGCCATCTCTGCTGATTCTTGAACTGCTTCTCGCGATCATGGTTGTTAGGTCGACACGCAGCATTGGGTGGGTCTGCTGATCTGGAAGCATCTGATTGGCCAATCACAGACTCTTCAGACGATAAATTATTCAGCTGAGCAACATCTTGCACATTTATTTTGTTATGAAATTCCTCCTGTAAATTTTGATCAAGTGGGAGTCTCTCTGAGGCATTAGATACATCCTGAGACTTGGAATACCATTGGCCCCGTATTGCCATTTCCTGCGGAACAGAACCAGAAAGACCAACTAAATCACTCTGAGGGTTGGGGGCAAATTGTTGAGGGTTCAACATTTGTTGCATCTGATTTGGAGTTTGAGCAAGTGAATAACTGACATCCTGTTGCCCAGGTGAATGTGAAATCAACTGATTAACTCTCAAACGGTCCTCCATAGGATTCTGCTGAAACTGACTCTGCATATCCGAGAACTGAAAGGGATCAGAGACTTGTGTCAAAAGACCTTCATCACGAGGTCCTGTCTCATTATTTGAAGAGAACTGGTTTTGACGTTGTTGGATCTGATGCTGGACCAGCTGCTGGCGTTGTAACTGGTGAGATGGCTGCTGAAATTGTTGATGTTGATGTTGATGGGGTTGTGCAAGATTATCTCTACCAGAAAATTGCGGTTGAAAATTCGTTTTTTCAGACTGATCGATTAATTGAGGCTTCATAGTTGTCATCGACTGAGTCTGAGTAGTGTGTATATTTGATCGATTATTAATCATCAATGAGGATGTTGTCTTTGGCATATTTTGCATGGACATGGCATTCAAATTCTGATTGTTCGTCATTGACCCGACAGATGATGCAGGAGCATAAAGGTTTCCAGAGCCTGAAGCATCATTAGCACCAATTCCATATCCATCACCTAAAAGTTTACAGTGAGAATAAACCTTAAAAGCTCCAAGGCTATTAAGGGCGTGTTTGTTTATAAAATAACTAGAAAAACACTAGAAATTTTTTTATCTCAATTCAAAATCTAACGCAACTTTAACTCAACCCCACTATCCTCAATATTATCAATATAATTCAATCATTCTTACACATTACATCAACTTTAATTCACTATTCATCCACTCACATAATTTAAACTACCTATCATTTCCAATCATTTATCTCCTACTTTTACATCAAATCAATTTTAATCATTTTATTTTAAATATTATTTTAATACATTCTTAAAATCCTACTACCAACTAACCATACTAACTTTTTTCAAATAAACTCTAGTTAACACAAAAAAACCAGAGAAAAACAAAAAAAAACAGTTTTTTTCTAGTTATTTTATAAACAAGCACGCCTTAAATATCATATAATCCACTGAAACACACACACACACACACACACACACACACACACACACACGAAAGAACGGATTTTGGTGATGGAACAACAAACATACCCTGTGTTACTTGCTGCTGATGTTGGTCAAATTGTTGATGAAGCATGGGTTTGATGTTGTTTCCATATATTGTTCCAGATAAATATCCCTCGGTAGTCCCTTGACCATTCATCATCGACATATTGTTTCCCATCATTCCCAACCCTCCATTAATTGCCCCATTTGACAATCCATAGGACTTTTGCTGCAATGTAGATCTAATTCCACCACCCATATGGCCACCAATATTATGTAAAATGCGACTGTTTTGTCCGCCAGCGCGCTGCTTTTGTTGCATGGGCTGTGATACAATCGTAGGTTCAACAGCTGGATATGCGCCGATGTTATTGGATGGCTCCATATTCACGAATGGTTGATTATTCAAATGGTTATTTATTTCATTATTGTTGGAATTACTATTATTACTATTACTATTGAATCCAGGAGTAGGGATCATCTGACTTGTCATTCTCGGTACACCCATCGATGTCACCATGTTATTTCCCCCAGAATTCACTGAGAAAGCGGAAGACTGTTGATATCCACCAGTGAAAGCTCCTGAAATTTAAATATTTATGTCAATTTTTAATTAGAAGGGCAAGTCAACATCATTAATACGAATCACAAAGACTTCTTAAAGTACCATCAGATGTGCCGAATGAACCACCATGCATATTGCCAGAAGAAATTGTGTTGGAAGTATTATTAACAAGAATAGCGCTATCTACAGACTGGGTCCCAGCAACACTAGAATTTCCCATTTGCTGCAATCCAGGAGTTGGGATCATTGTACCAACAGAAGGAGAAGAATTAACATGTGATGAGAACTGCTGGTTGTGATTGCTCATAGGTAGACGTTTTATCAGAACATGCAAACGGGTCTCTAAAGTGGCCAGGTTGAGATATTCCTCCTGACAAAACAGAAACCGAACTAGATAAAGCACAAACCAAAACTACTCAATAGAAAGTATCGAACTTTACGTTAAAAGTTAAAATTCAACTATAAAATATTTAATTGCATAAATCACACAAACAAAGCATGTTTTCTTCGGAAAGGGCTATATCAATATCAATATAAAAATAAAAAAGTAACCCACTGTTGTTGTGGCACTCTTGAACAAAGCCTCTTCTAGACGTTTCACTAAATCAAGCATTTTCTTATTAGGCACATCCTGAGATTGTGGTCTGCGCTGCATAAGAAATTCCCAGCTGCATAGGAGCAAACCAAAAAGTGTCAGTAGTTGTTGAATATAACAATGAAGCCTTTAACAAGAAGAGGTGAAGAGAAGGAGAACATAATGTTAAACAGCAGCAACAGTATAACACGAGATAAAAAGTTTAAGTCCAAATATATAGATACCTAAAGCACCATCACAAAATTGAAATTGAGAATGAGTATGGTAATGTATATTTACATCTAAGGAAAGAAAATATAACACTCGTGTAAAATAGAATAGCTCTTACATCTTTTCTTGCATATATCTGCGAGTTTTCGCATATTCACCGTCCGCATTTGAGACACCACGATGGACGTTAGGATTTTGCATCTGCCCAGATATAGAAATTCCATTTTGCTGTGGCAACCCAGGCAACGTAGTACCAGCTTGGTTAGATACCTGCCCTGATATCTGCCCTGAATGGTGCATTTGAAAATTCATTTTTTATCTGGGCTAACAGATGTGTCCTTCATAAAACATAAAATCCATCAACTAGTTGAACAGATCAGCTGTACTGAACGAAGTTTCCCTTGACGCGTAACAGAAAGATTCCCGACTTAGCCAGCAATCTGTAAAATAAAGCTTTTAAAATTCAGGGATAAGACTAAATTAGGAATCAGTGCAATTGTGTTTTAGCTGGAAATCTGGAATTATTGCATACTACATTGTGCATGCAGTCCTCTTCTCAACAAGAGGCAGCAAAAACCATTTGTGAATGGGAGACATTTCATATGTGATCGCAAAAGAAAGAGATACTAATCAATTTTTAAATGCATATATTATCCTTCCCGTTCGATGAGCACTTAAATTTTAGCCTATAGTGTCATGCCTCAACCTAATTCAAAGTCTAGCATAATTCTAAAAATAATTTCACATTCCAAAGTAAAACTTAGTGATGAAATTGAATTTAAAGAAAAAATACCAAGACTCTGAGGATGTCAATGTCAGAGTCCGCGTTACAAGAAAAATTTCAAATCAGTTGAAATATAATATTATAAATAAGAAAAAAGTGCCTCTTTTTCACCAACACATACTTAAAGTTGACATGTTCCCGAATGAATTACAGAACAGGATGCATCACCGTGACAAGACTTGAACAAACACAACGACAAACTGCATATTGTTTCACACCTAAGTGATAAGAGTCCCAAAAGTTATGGTATAAAAACTGACCAAAAAAATACAAACACCAAACTCAGCATAGATCATAAAAGAAAACTTCAGAGACATAGTAGTAACACATGACTGAATCGAACGAAGTTAGCAAAATTTAGACTTTACAATAAAAATAGAAGCTTCTCACATTAGGTCATGTTAGACCAGATGAAAGGTAAGATTTTAAGATCATATCTCTATGAGATTTCATCAAAATCCTCTCCCCTCCATATGAAGTGTTAGTGTCCACAAGCATAAACTTTATTTAAGGCCAGTAGGTACAGCATAGCTTCTTCTCGTTGGTTCACAAATAATGCATTCCTCTTCAATTCACGTAAGTGTGTATTCTGACAGCTCAACTCATAGTTAAGGCCAACGACATTAAAGAACCAACAAAAATACCATAAATTTAGAAAACGTAGCCCGCTCTCTTAGCAAGACAGAAGTTCATCTATTAGTGAGCTAATCAACTAGTATTTGATCCAAACACCAAATTGCGAATGAAATTTGATATCTTTGACGGAATCTACAGCTCGAATTTCAGCTGTAGATTAGCTAACATCGAACTTCTTCGTACAGATACTTGATCAAAAACACGAAAACACAAACCAAACCGCATTCAAACATATTGGGCAAGCTAAATCACACTGTACCTAATAAATCGAGCTACATTCGAGCAAATCTGGAGGTGCTAGGGTTCATCAAATTGGGGGAAATCAATTTGGATAATCGATTTGACAATATACGTGATGGGTTTCACATTGGGGATAACACAGTAGCATAATTAACCAACATTGGTCCCCAATAACAGCCAAAAATCAACTACCCAACATAAATCAAAGATGGCACCTTTACTGAAAGCGCGATGAATAGGAGACGAGCAACAGAAAGTGATAGTGACAGAATAAAGGAAGTCAATGAAGCCAAGCCGTGGGCCGTGAGCTGAATGTGGCGGGAGAGCTCGGAACGGTAATGAAGTCCTGCTTGAAGGAAAACGACGATTTGGAGAAGGAAAGGTTGATTTACACATGGACACTTTGTTAATTTCTGGGCATAGTTGACGCTTGACGGTAATTAACTTTTTTTTATTAAATACACATAAATATTCCTTTTCTTTNTAAAAAAATATTGAAATTATTATTTATGACATTTGTGCATGAAAGTTTAAAAGTATTTGCTTATACCATAAAAATTATTAACTAATTTTAATATATATATATAAAAAAACTTTCTTAATGAGTTGAAAAAAAAAAATAAATAGTTTGAAAAAATCTATAGAATATAATAACATTTAATATGATTTTATTATTAGTGAATAGTAGCAATGATATATATAAATAAATAAATAAAATATAATTGTCTAATTAATAATAAATTAATTAACGAAAAAATGCGAAAAAACAAAAAGACGTTTATTAAATTCTTTGTTAGCAATTATATATATAGATTTATAATCTATTGTTTTCTCATATTGTTTTACCTACTGATTTACAATCAATTCATTTAGGGAATAGTATGTTGGAAAAATTTGTTTTGCTTGCTATATCAGCAAATCGATTTTTACTACTGTTGATATTGAATTTTATTTTAAAATTATACTGATGCGATAACTAAAACAATGTGAAACTAAATGAACGTTATACTATTGATTTGTTTATGTATCCAATCATTTTTTATGAAATAAATATGTTTCGTCAAACAAAAATGGTTTTAGAGGTTCTCCAACACACACACACACAAAAAAAATATGAATTCTATAATTCCATAATTTTTTTGTTCCACAACTCCTTGTAATTCATGTGTAAATTTCTATGCGTCAAAATAGTTAATGCAGATGTAAGTGTAAATTTATGTACATGTTTATTGTTACTTTTAAACGTCTAAAAGATTGTACTAACTACAATTATAGATGTATTTTAAAAATTAATAACTTATGTACTTTTCATCAACTTTTCACACATGATATATCAATTTAACTATCTATTGACGAGCTCAAATTATATATCATATCGAAAATATTATTTTTATAATAAAAATAATTTATCTATTAATATTAATTGAAAATTAATAAAATTATTAATTAATTAAATAAATATGAGTTTTAAAAGTTATTAAATATAAGACATGTGCAATTAACGAGTGTTATATTAAATAAATAATAATATATTTTCAATAAACTATTTAAATATAAAACAAATGTTTCTCTCTACTTTTAAAAAATATGTATAATTTTTTTTAAGTAGCTCACGTGTAATGCACTGGTGTTTAATGTTTTATAGGAGATAAGACAAGAAAAAGAAAAGAAAAATCAGTGGTGATTATATCAAATGCAAGCACAACTAAGGAAACGGGTTTGGCGAAATTAGCGTTATTGTGTAATTTAACTCATTTTTCACTATGAAAATTAAGATAATTAGGGATAAACTATAAACTAATGAAAGTTCGAAAAATCAATTATATTTATGGACACATTCTTATCATTTTATGAATTTTATAGAAAATATCGTGCGCAATATAATTTATTTAATATTCGCTCTATTCATAAAATAGAAAAGTGTACTCATTATACATACATTTTTACTGTAAACATTTTTATCTATTAATTATAAAAAAAAAAAGATAAATATTTTGAATTATATGAATTCATTGACACTAATGTGCTAATAATAACTTTTATATTTTTTATAATATGTACAACTGGGACACAGGGGAGTTTTTTTTAACCATATTTCAAAACAGTTTTTCCCAACTCCATTAAAATATTTATTCTTGTGCGTTACGCGGGGACTTGTTAAAAAAATTATTCTTAAATTTAAAATTAATGAGAAAAAGTATTTTTAAAATTTAAATATTTTTCACAAAAAAATATATATTATTATATATTTTAAAATGACACTTCTTACTTGCGCGACTTGCATGTGTTATATTATAACAATCTTTTTAGCTTATACCATATAACTACTTTAAACATAAATATATTAATTGATAAATAATTTTATTTTTTAATTAATATTAATAAATAATTATATTATTAGTATAAGATATATATAATTTATTTATTTTATACATACAATATTGATGACAAATCGAAACTCATCAAGAGATGATTAATTTGATATATTATATATGTAAAACTGATAAAAAATACAAAAGTTATCAACTTTTAAAATACTTTTACAATTAAATGGTTATAATATAGAAGTAGTACGACACCCGTGTACTACACGGGTTGTTTGAAAAAAAAAATATAAAACATAAAATAATAGAAAAAACACATGTTGTTGTATTTCAACTCTTTAAAATATATTAGAAAGATCATGTAATATTTTATAACTATTTCAATGTATTTTTATAGATATTCTAAAAATATTTAAATATTTTATTTACCACGGTGTTCATCAAAATTTATTTTATTTTTATTTCAACTGTTTAAAATATATTAGAAAGATCATGTAATATTCTATAACTATTTCAATGTATTTTTTATAGATATTTGGATTGCAGAGATATAATATGCAAGTGGCGTCCAATCAGTTTCACATCTATTGGAGGATAAGTCGATAAATCTATCAACAATGGCAATGCTCCTTATGCCTTCAAATTAAAAGGTGCCAACTACCATCAGATTGGAAGTTTACTACTTTATCTTCGAAACTAATCGATTAGATTCATTGTGCAATAGCATAACCAATACTTTTAGATAGGTTCACCACAGTATGCATATAATATTTCCATGCACAATATAGTAAAATTAGAGGTTTGCATTGATATATAAACCGGTGACAAGTGGAGTTATAATTTTTATAAACATACATTGACAAAATCCAAAGATTTTGTGTTTTATCATTTTTATCTAAGAGTTGGTGTGCTTCCAAGAAATTCGTAATTTTCACATACAAAACAAATAAATAATCTCATTTTGATGGTCTAGTTTCGTTCATGACTTAAGAAAGCCAAGGGCTAGCTGAAAGATTTTGATGGTCTAGTTTCGTTCTTTACTTAAAAGAATAATAATGCCTATAGTTATAACGAGTCTAAAGAATGTAATAAAATGGATTCATAATTATAATAAAATTAGCAAATCAAAATAATAATTATGATTGAAGAGGCATAAAAATCAAATATTAAATATGACCTCCAGCAATATAGGCCGAAATATTGATCATAGCAAATANACCATTATTCTAAAAAAAAAAAAAAGTAATCTTAAAATAAAATGTTTATGGAACAAACCATTATTCTAGAAAAAAGAAGTAATCATAAAATAAAATGTTTACGGCTATGATTAACTAAGCCGATTTTATTAGAATTGAGCAAATATCTCAATCGTGCATTTTTTCAATCTTCACTTTCACATTTTTTCCATTGCATGAACCTTGGGAATGCGGCACACCATCACCACCATCCTCGTGGTTGATATCTCCAGAGAGACACTTTTTAGAAGAGGGAGTAGCTTCACCTATTTTTGCATTGTCAGCAACAGATGACACAGTACTCTATACAGAAAATATAGAATTGTTATATATATGTATGCAGTTGAAGTCATATTCATAATTTGAAAGTTCATAAAAATATACTCATAATTATATTTTTAGTTTATTGCTTACCAATTCGAGGTCAATGACATTTTCTTGATTCTCAAATACATCCATGGGAGTTTTGGCAGTATTAATATTCTAAGAAAATGTAAGATAATTGTAAGCATATGAATTTGATAAGAAATCAATTACAAATTAAATTGCAACATTCATGAAAAATAGCTTACCGCTTCCTCACAAATCAAATCGCACCACTTAGATATAATAGTTACGTTAGCGGTGAGTCTCGCGACTGTATAAACCCTTTTTGATTGGTTTAGATTGTACCTTTTTATGTCTATTTTGAAAAGATAACTTTTCATCGTCAATATTTCCAACTCATTTGGAAATGAATCGCCATCACCAATCTATATTAAAAAAAAAAGCATTAGTGTAAATATAAATAATTAATAATTAATAAGGAACAAATATTGATGATATCATTATGAATAGGGATAGGAACAAATTATTACTGCTTCCAATGCATTTTTAAGATCTGCGGAACTCTTTCCCAATATTGGAGAAACTTGTGGATCAAAGAGAACAAATGACGTAGAACAGGTTTTATCTTCAACGCGGACGTGGACTTTGAAACTATTCGTCGATACAAAATTCATCAATGAAACGACAAGAAGATATATTACATAACATCACTTAATGAAGGTCACCAAAGTTGAAAAATAGTTATTGGGTATTATATTACCGAGTGAGAACAGCATTAGGACGACAATCACAATGATTACACCAACATTTGCCTCCTTGTTCGGTAACCTTATGGTAACATTTGTTGCAAGCCATGTAGTACCAATTCTGACTGGTTTGAATGTTGCATATGTTGCAATAAACAACGCATGAACACTCCTACGACAAATAAACTAATCAGTGATAAATACAATTTAAATACATATTTAAAAATGGTCAATGAGAATATATCTTAATAAGAGATGAACACAATCAATAGAAGCAAAGTCCATAGTATTGCTAGTATTTACTTCATTTATAGCTTGCAAATCACTGATGGTTTTGAACTCCAAATTTGTAGGGAAGTCCTCATTAACAGAAGCCGATCCATTAATGCAATAATCTCTTGAAGAATATGATACTGAATTAGGTTTGGACATTTCCTTCAAACTATAAAAGGAGTTAGGAATTAATCAAGAATAAATAATGAATAATTAGTCCATCAAAAATGAATAATAAATAATAAATAATTATCTAATACATACCTCTTCATGAATTCAACTATCTCATCCATATCTTCATTTATTATGAGTTTAAGTTAGGAATTAATCAAGAATGAATAATAAATAATTAGTCCATCAAGAATGAATAATAAATAATAAATAATTATCCAATACATAACTATTCATGAATTCAACTATCGCATCCATATCTTCATTTATTATGAGTTTACTTGTAAAAAGTGAATTTTGTAAATTCACATGTGCTGCACATACAAAATTACATTGTCAAACAATTAAATGATCACTTTCCCATATTAAAACTTCATTTGCAATTAATCTTATGGGACAATATTTTCAATTTTTCTCAAAATAAGTTAAAACCATAAATCCTAGGAAGGTGACATGTACATTAAGGGCCGTGAATATTTGCAGACACAAGTTGATATATATATAGCACACAGTTGAATTGAAAATTACTGACTGTATATATTTCAAATACGTGTAATACGTTATTCATTCTATTTCTCTAAAATTTATTTGACTTTTCTAGTGGTTATGTGAACAAACTTACAAAATATGTAATGAATTATAGAGAGAAGTACCTCCCCATCGTTTAACCATAGCATATTGGAGAATAATGACAACCGGCTCATCTTTTTTGGCCTTCCAGAAGTCAACCATTTGAATAACAAATTAGTTCCACAGTGTACATTCCATAGTTTCTCCACTTCAGAAAAAACAATGAAATAATTATAGTCGATTAAGTTGATACAAATGTGACTAAAAAAAGATATAAATAATAAATACTACTAACCTCACCGAGATATATGTTAAGTCTAGTCGTTTCATGACCATCTCGTTCATACTTAACGACTTCATCAATTTTGATGACCTCGGCATGGTATTAAAATGCAATTAACACATCTAAAATGACCATAAATAATCAACATATTTATGGATAATCCAAAATTAATTATTTTTGGTTTGGAAGTAAATTAAAATATATCCAAGCCAAATAATGAAGCATAAAATTTCGACACATATGATCCCGAAGCATGCGAGTCTGCCACTTAGGCACAACAAAAAGGAATTATATAGAAAGGGGATATGATACAATTTTTCTACTCCTCTTAAGTAAAATGACATTTTGTCTTATACATAGGATATGATGTGTGCATGTCTCTTTATATATAATTGGTAGCAACAAATTTAATAAATCATAAAATCACATTAAATGATATTCCATCGAATTTTTTTTATCAACTATTTATTTAAAATTATTAATTATTTTTTGCTTTAAATCATCAAGCAAGTTTATTTTTTTTATGATATAACAAATCCTTTAAAATTTCATACACAATTTCTATAATACTAATTTCAATAATGTTTTATCTAATCAATTGTTCATAATCAACAAATATTGCAAAAATTACATCATTGCAATTGATATAAATATTAATATGAAGTCAATAGTATATATTTATTAGTTCATTTTTACTGATGATGAAATTTTAAAAATATTATATACTAATTATCTAATTTATGATTTTAAATATTACATATACCCATATGTAATCTGTGCATATGCACAATATCGAATAGTAGTGTTTATTAAACAAGGAAAGTAGCACATTAAAATTATAAATATATTTATACAATTTTGTAATCTTGCAAATTTGAGTCTCTTTATATATTAAACAAAACGTTGAACTGAAAATAATAAAAAACAAATCTAGTTTGCACAATCCTAAAAATCACCATCTCCCCACGCAATCGGATTAAACCCTCGGATTTTCAGCTGCAAAAAATCTATATAGGAAAGCCCTTTGGATCAAACCACCGGTAGAATTGAAATCGCTTGACGATTNTTTTGATCCAAAAAAAAAAAAAAAAAATTCATGAGGAAGAGAGAGAGAGAGAACCCTTGTGGGATTTGTGGGCACTACCACAAGTACGAGGAGGGGGAGGTGTGCGGCGTCTGCGGCCACCGAATGGCCGCCGTGGCGGACAAATCTGCGGCGGCTTCCGTCCACGTCAGCGCTTTCCCATCGGAGATCTTGCCGGAGTTCCTGTACCTGGGCAGCTACGACAATGCTGCCCGCGCCGAGCTTCTCAAGACTCAGGGCATCTCCCGTGTTCTCAATGTAAAATACTTTCCTTTGTATTTCGTGTGTGATTTCCCCCCCTTTGCATGCACGTTCATTACACATTGTGTGTAGTTTGCTGTTCATTACACCTTGTGTGTGATGTCGTGTTAGAAAACTCAAGCTTGTTGGGTTTGATATGTTGTTCTTGTTAGAAATTTGTTAGATATGAAGGGGGAACTGAGACTAGTAGCCTTGGACATTTCCCCCTTAATTGCTGATCTCCACAATGTAGTGGGTTACTGAGTTTTTGTTGTTGTTTCGGCTTTATGCAGTTTTGATATTTTTATTGATCGCATTTATGTTATTTTTTGGTTTGGGAGATTTTGATCCAAGGGTTTTTAGGCTTTAGAATAATTTGTGTTGCATAGCTATGATCTGTTAGGATAAGAAATTAACACGATATAGCTCTTGTAGTGTCTAAGACTGTTGGAAATAATGTGATAGATAAAGATCCGCTCTTGAATCAAACATGTTCCTCCATTTATAAGTGATAATTAATCCACTTTGTTGATTTACATTCTTGTCTTATCTGGCTAATGATTTTCTTAGGAAATGATCGTTATTGGGGTATAAGTTTATAAATGCGGACAGTACGTCATCTATGCTGATGTGACTGTTCATAATTACGTAGAGATAACTGCATTGGTGTTTCTGTTCAATGTCTGTAATCCACGGGTCAAAATCTCGATTCTGCATGCAGTTTCCTATTGGTCATCTATTATTTGTAATTATCAAATGTTGTTCATTACGAAAATCTAATATCATCGTCCATTCTTGTGTCTAGTCACCATTTAATGACATAACCAAACATTGTATTGACGTAAATCAGATAACATGTTAGGGTAGGGATCTTGAAACTGGCTTGCGCTTCATAGCATATTTCTAATTCAACACGATAATTCTTAGCATGCACTTTCTTGATTTGGAGAAAATAGGTCGAGTGTAGCTTATGATTTGTTTCTCTTTGCGTAACTTTACTGTACATGTTAATTTGTTTACTTTTATGATAATATGGAAAAGAGAACATCTAAAGTGCGAAGGTTCATTTTATTACCTCTGTTTTAGCCTGACTGTAACTACTATCGACATCCATTACTGGTCTTACTTTTTTATTCATGTATTTTCCGAACTCTCATTGCCCATTTTGTTTACAAGGATGATATAATGCATTTAACATATATTTTACTTTGTTAGTTGTTCAGCTTTTTGGGGACCTTTGAACTCATGAGAAGTTTGTTTTTCCTTGTGCAGACCGTTCCTGCTTGTCAAAATTTGTACAAGAACTCTTTTACCTATCACTGTCTGCAATATGATAAAGAACTGCCATTTGAGGATGCAATTCAGTTTCTAGGTGAGTTTTCATTATGTGAACAATGCAATACAGGTGCAATTTTCTTTTCTTCATCACATTATTGATTAGTGCTTACAGATTGAAAGTTGTTTTAGTCGTGTGACAAACAAATATGAAGAATCTGTATTTTGTAATGCAATTTGTTTGGAATATATATGCTGCATAAGAACCAAAATTGAAATTATATTGCAAAATGAGAAATAATTTTTATTTACTCATTTTATTTGTTGTTAACTGGAACCTCCTCAACTTCTTAGTCAAAGATTATGTAAAAAATGAATATGATGGGACTCCAGTAACTTCAGTTAAACTATTTTTGGAAAGTTAGAATGAGCTGTCAGCTCTGGTGGGAGCTTGGCCCATGGTAAATGCTATCAAGCTGATTTCAATGGATATCAATCTCTCGTTTGGACATATTGTTTGGTATGATAAGTTCAGCAATGTCCTGTAACACATAATTAAAATAATGATGAAAAAATGATGGATGCATAAAGGTAAGTCCTAGTTGTTCATGTATCTTGTCTTCCATATTGCTGAAAAATTGTTTTTAAAGCATCAGCATCTGGCTATTATAAAAATGGCATGCGTGAGTAAATGCAGTTTGTAATAAAGGATATAGTTGAAATTTAGGTTGATCCATTAATCCATTAGTTTAAAATTTGTTGGTTGCCTTAAATTAAGCAGACGTGTATCTATTGAGAATGCACGTACACTTTTTGGAGTTTTAGACTCTCTCTAATAGAGTAAGATGGACGTAGCTTTACCACATTCTACGCAACAATGACTGTTGTTTTCTAATAAAAACATAAAGGTTAAAAAAATTGTAAAAAATGCGTTACTGGAATTTTACTTGCTTCGTGATATTTGCATAAATTCTAAATATTCATTGAGCTGGTTTGCAGAACAATGTGAAAAAGATAGGGCTCGGGTTCTTGTGCACTGCATGTCCGGCAAAAATAGGTGAGTTTTTTTTCTCCAAATGTGGCTCAAGACTCTTTATTTTCCCCTTCCATTGTTTTTGCTAATTTATGAGTCATTCCCTTTTCCAGCGTGAATGAGTTTATCTCGGAGGGTTAAACGCATTTGCTTTTGTAGTAAATAATCTTTCTACAGATATGTTTGTACATGAGAAATTGCTAGATGAGGTAAAAAATGACGCCAATGACATTCTATTAGTAGGAACTTATTCAAATTTAGAAGAACTCGTCTATAAATTATTTCGAACCATGAATGATAACGTGTGATACGTTCAGTTCCCTATACTTGATTACCATTTTTTCACAGGTCCCCTGCAATAGTAATTGCTTACTTGATAAAAACCAAAGGCTGGAAACTCACACAGAGTTATCAATGGGTGAAAGAGCACAGGCCTCAAGTCGAACTAAGTCAAGGTGTTAGTTAGTCAAATCCCTTTTACAAAATCTCTTAAATTGATGAAAGAATTACTAGCGTCCTATTATCATACAAATCGAATTTATCCATTTTTGACCTTTTTTTTTTTATTTTATTTTATTCCAGAGATATACCAGCAATTACTCGATTATGAGCAAAAACTACTCGGTGGGGCAGCCAAGGACAACAATAGTGCTGTTTTGAGTTCACCGCCCTTTAGCTTTGGCTTCTCAAGCCCAAACAACCCACCGCCTCAAGTCCCGGTTTTCAACAATAGTAGTGGAGGTGCTTCCATATTTTCCCGAACTGCATTTGATGTCCCTCCACAAGAATTCACGTTTGGAGCTGGGCCCTCACAGAAAAACACCCCAGACGATACTTCTTTCAATGCAAGCACGAATATTTCTTCTGTCAATGATATTGCCATGGATAGTTCTTGATGGTTGGATCATATGATTATACTCTCGTCTGGGAAAAATTATTTGTTGGATCAGAATTCTTGTTCGTCTTCATCTGTGAGCTTCTTTTACAAGAAAAAAAGTCAGGGATGCAAAGTGTGAAGAGATACGAGTTCTTGTGGTGTTGTGCGAAAATGAGGGTTTGGTCGGGCAAATGAAGGAGTGTGCAGTTTATTTTAAAGACACTCGCCCTTGATATACCCTACTCTTTCGACTCATTTGGTTTTTCCCTTTCTATACAATGAATCCTTTAGTACTTGTGGTTTGTTGATTTGGGCAATAGATTGTGTTTGGATTAATGAAGAATAATAAACAGAAATTATAAACCTGTGTTGGTTTATTTGCTCTCTCGTTGGATTGAACAAGTTGGAAAAAGTTTAATGAATCTCTCTGCCTATAGAGCCAATGATTTTATCATATATTCCAGGTGTGTTGTGTGTTCTTTTCTGGGTAATTAGCCATTGTCCTTGACATGAAAGAGTCAAAATTTCTCGGGCATTTGTTAATTTCTATGTTTAAGTAATTTTGCATATTGAATTGTGTGTTTTATGTGTAATCTGACGGCTAAAACTCCTCACAAGTGCGTGATCAAACAGCTAAAACTCTTGTGAATAATACCCACAAGGGGTAGGATCGAACCTTCCCATTTACATAATTGTTGAGGTCTAGATAATTTGAAAAAAAATGAGTTGGAATCAGATGTAGATTGTAGATTGTAAAGAGAGAAATTATGGGACAATTTGCCAGGAAAAAGAAAAGGTAATTTGTATAATTGCAGATTGTCAGGTAGTGTCTAACTGTCAGGTAGCAAGACTGCAAGAGAAATATTATATTTTGACTTACACAAGCAATGCCCAAAGTTACAACAATGTCAAATTGCAGATAACTGCATGTATACATAATTGTGCATGTGTTATCATACAATTCACCAATGGAAATAAAGATAGAAATCTACATTTTTTTATTTCAATTTTATTATGTCTAAGATATGCATGTCTCCAGGGAAGACTTCGCAAGCCACAACAAGCCAGGATCGTTTCTCTTTAACATCAAATAGGCTTCGGCCTTTCCCCTTTCATCCGTGACAATACCCTCACAGAATCCAATAAGTGTCAAAATATCCACAGCAGCTGCAAGAAAATCACCACACAATGCATTTACCTTCAGTAACCGCAACTTTTAATAACATTATTTATATTTACAAACCTCAACAATAAAACAACATAAAAAAATTAAAAATACAGCACAGTAGGGTCTACGACGTGAATTTATCTACATGAAATATGTACCTTTGTAAGTAATAATGTTCCTCTGAATCGTTGGATTAGCCTGAATCAACCATAGAGCCAAAAGCAACAAAGTTAGGGAGTTATTTTGTGATGTAGAAAATGAAAATCAGAAATACTGCATGTGGAGGTACCTTTCTGAGTTTTCTGTACTTCACGTCATCCGGATGTTCAATCACATTACTGCAGGCCATTAACAATTGGAAAATCTCGCATCATTTATCAATTGATGAAGTACATAAAGGATGTCACGAGAAGACAAATTGCTTGAATACAGACACACACACACACACACACACACACACACAAAAGAACCAAAAGTAAAAAATTATATAAAGTATTTGAAACCTTACCATATTATCTTAAACAATGTTTGCAGTACCCGCCCAGTGTCAGGGGGAATTACTTCATATTTTAATGACTGAATTGCCCTCTGCAAACGATCATAAACTGCGGTAACTGGGTCTTGGATTATCTGCAACTCAGGATCATCCGGATCAGGCTCAGAAGTTTGGCTTTTCAAAACAGATTGGCCGGGATCAATCTCTGTCTGCATATCCTCTGTGTGACAATCATTCAGCGGCATGAGAAGTTCCTCCTCAGAATTATTTAATCCAGATTCTTCGATTTGTACATTTATATTGTTTGGTTCGGTAGAATTAATCCTAGAATCCACAAAAGGTTCAGGTAGCTCACTTTTTTTGTTCTCACGATCATCAGGATCGGGTTCTGGGGCATTCTGATTGCTATCAACAATTGGATCAGGAATGGGTGTCGTATTTTCCTGCACAAGAAATGTGTTGTGATATTTCGTTCTATTTTCGTCAATTAAGCAAATTTGAGGCACGCCAAAAATGTCCATTTCCATTTTCTGTTTTCAGTGTTTTGAGAC